ATTTGAAGCTTACTGATCAAATTTTTTTTAATTAATCTTTTTATCAAAATTTAAAATGCTTTTTCATTTGAAGACTTAGATAAATTTGCATGAGATGCCACAAGAAAATAACTTCAGAACAATATAAAGAAACAGTTACTTCTAATTTCAGTATAACTATGATTTAATTTTCGTTGTTTATTGATAATTCTTCTGTAGCCAATCCGGAGTGTTAAAAATTGTACCTGTGTGGGAGTATCCGAAATAGATCTAGAGAAAGGAAAATTATCTGCCCTAACAAAAGTTCTGGATCTGCAATCGGACCGTGAGTGGGCTAGTTGGATTAGTTGGACAACTAGTGGTACGAGTTGGAACATCTAGTGGGACGACTTGCAGGTCCGACTTCCGACTGGCGACGAAGTCGGAGCGTGAATGGTGAAATTGGAAGTCTTTTCTTCAGTCAGTTGACCTTCGGCACCTGTTACGTATGAAATTTTTATGAAATACTTTACGCAAAGATCTCTAGTTCGCAAAAATTTAATAGAAAATAAAGTTTCAATTGCACGAAAATTACCTTTTTGTTACGACAAATAATTTTCCTTTCTGTAGATCTATTTCGGACATTCCCATACAGGTACAATTTTGAACACTCCGGATTGCTTACGGACGAATTATCAACAAACAACGGAAATTAAATCATAGTTGTACTGCAATTAGATGTAACTGTTTCCTTATATTTTTCTGAAGTTATTTTCTTGTGGCAGCTTATGCAAATTTACTATTTTAATTGGAAATAAGCCTGAATATTAGTTAGAAATTAAATTTATTTGACGTTGAACTGAAGTTGGACCACTAGTTGGATAGCAAGTCGGAGCGTGAGTGGAGACGAATATTCAACTAGTAGTCCTACTAAGTGGGACAGCAAGTCGGAACGTGAATGGCCTGCTTAACCTGTGATTCGAGTTCCAACTTCACCATTCACGCTCCCACTTCCGCCAGTCGGAAGTTGGACTTTCAAGTCGTCCCTCTAGATGTTCCGACTCGTACCACTAGTTGTCTAACTAATCCAACCAGCCCAGCCCACTCATGGTCCTATTTCAGATCCAACTGCGGAAGTTTTACCACTAGTCGGACTAAAAATCGGAACGTAATTGGCCTGTTTTTAAGTTATAAAATAGGCATATAAAAAAGGTTGATAATGAATACCTCTATTTTTACTTTTATAATCAATTTATTATAAACCACAGACTAACTAGACCGACTCGTTTTAACTGACAAGTACCACGTGTTAAAAATCGAGCAGGGAGACATGTAGTCCCTAAAGTAATTAAAATTTATCCATTGTCGTCGACCTAGAGTCACAACATAATTAAAATGTAACATTTTGAATGATGTAAACCCATATTTGGAGGTCTCACCGATAACCTTATTGTTAGCTTCAACTACACAAAGCACTGAGGATGATCTGTTCAGATCCAAAACAATATGCCAGTACTTAAATTTTGACTACACTTTTTTAAAAAGTTTAACAAAAGTTAACTATTTGTTTTTTATACCACAATACAAGTGTGAAGTGTTTTAACTTCTATGTTTTTTTTTTTCTAATTTATTTATTGTTGGCACATACTTCGTATGTTCATTTTCCACTCCTCTTACATGACATTCCATTTTTCAGGATTTTATTAAATTTTTGTAACTTCTTGTTGTCTTGACATTTTTAATTTGTGGATAGATTCAAAAAATATTTGGAATTTTTCTGGCCGAAAAACGTTTTTGACGAAAAACAAAACGAAAAAAGATTTTTAATCCTTTTGGGTAAATTTTTAAATTATATTTTAATAAAAAATATACCAGTATACACAAGAAGTTCTTACTTATATAAGCTTTTTTATTTAGTAAAGAATTCTATATATTCTAGGCATTATGATTAAAAAATAGAAACTGTAATAAAGCTAGTAATAAAAAGTTAAATTCCCGAATTTAGTTTATATAAAATAAAATTTTCAGGAAGGAAAGAAATCTGCTATAATCTGATCGCTTTAAATAGAAAAATATGGGAGTAAACCACCCTGGTTTACTCCCATATTTTTATATAATGGTATAATATGGTTTATATAATGGTAAAATAATACCATGGTATACTCCCTGGTATTATTTTCATAATACTACTTAACATTTTGGTAGAAATAATTTAGTCAAATACTATATTTCGCTTATTTTTAAATCTGGCATGTTTTATTTAGAAAATAATATCGTATGAAACACGACTGCAAATGATGAACAGATTAGATAATTATTTTTTTCAATGTTATCAAGGTAAATACTATATGCTCAAATATATGGACATTGGTTTGAGAGATATTTTCAAGAACAATGAACATAAAATATTTATTATGTATTATATAACTGTATGCAGTATATATATATATATATATATATATATATATATATATATATATATATATATATATATATAAATTCACTCTTTAAAACGATTTTCATCTCTTTCTCATAATGTTCTTGCTTCATAAATTGTTCTTTTCAAGAACATATATTCCATTGTTCTTAAATAGAATAAATACCAGAGAAACGTTCCCTATTAACGATGGTTTAACTGTTTTATGAAGACTTGGGCTGTCTGGTGTGCAATTTAGGTTATCTTTTATTTAGGTTAAGGTTTCTTTATTGTCGCATACACTTATATTTTACCTTTAACTTCTTGGGAGTTTTTTGCGTTTACTTCTTCCTTCTGGTCCCTGTCAATTCAATTGACAAATTAACATCTTTGTTTTTTACTTAAAAATCATTATATCCTATATAAAATTTACAAATCGGAGGTAATAAACACCGTTTCAATTGTTTATTACATTATTTTACGTTTGGATCGGATTATTCCCCGTATTCAGCCGGACTATTCTCAGCCTTCCGGGCCACCTTCCGCACGTGCTCCCCCTTTTCCGTACTAGTGCAACGTCACTCCTAGGTACTTTACGTGTTTCTTGGGTGTTAGACATGCCCCCGCACATTGTAATTCCACACTTTGCCTGTTCCTTTTCCTCTTCAGAATGATGGCTTCGGTTTTCTCTGCGACAAGTTTCAGTCCGTGCCGCGTCATCCATTTCTTTACGACGACGCCTGCGTTCCAAATCCGGTATTTGAGATCTGGTTCATTCTGGGACACTACTAGTATAGCGAGGTCATCCCCGAATGCGAAGGGGGTTGTACCCTTTCCATATTCACAGTTCATAACCCCGTTATATGCCAGGTTCCTTGCGTCGGGCCCAAGATAGATCTCTGGGGGACCCCGGCCGTCACCTCCACGATAGTGCCCTTTAGTGCCATAATCCTTCTCTCCAACCAGATAACCAGGACATTCTCTCTCTTCCCATGCCTTTATGACCTCGTTGCACTGCAGCGTATTAAATACATTCCTAATATCGAACAATAGTAGGTCCGCCCAACGATGTTCATCTTCTCTGCTGCACAATGCTTCGAGTACACTCACAATTGCATCAATCGCACTTTTCCCTTTACAAAAACTAAATTAAACCACCTGATCTCTCAATCATGTCTATGCGTACTCGCAGCATTCTGTCATACAGCTTACCGATGCATGGAAGGAGACACATAGGGCGATACTTTTCATCAGCCTTGGGGAGCAGTACTAACCTAGATGTCCTCCAAGGTTTATGAAAGGTCTGTGCTTCCCGCAGTGAATTCATGTGTTCCAGAAGCTACGTAGGCTCTGCCCATCCTAGTCCTGTCGCTGTCTCAGGTGGTATCTGATCCAGTTCGGGGGACCTGCGCGTCTTGAGTGAACCCGATGCCCCGACAAGTTCATCCATGGTAAAGGGTACGACCCGCTGAGCTCCTTCGTCCCCCATACTCCATGCCATCTGTCGTCAGGAAAGAGCTCAAGCTTCTTGTCCATAGGAATGTCGTATAGAGGATACTCATGGAACTTGTTCATGACGATCCTGTATCCCTGACCCCAGATGTCTTCATCCAGCATTTCACACAGCTCTTTCCAGTGCCTTCTTTTTTCTGTACGGATTTTCCTGTAAAGTTCCCTCCTCCTTGCGCGGTACTCTTCCTCGATCTCGTTAACTTGAGAAATATCTCCAGTCTTAAGTATGAGTATAATAAAGCTTTTTTCCAACAGGCTGGAAATTTCCCACTTTTTAATGAAAGAATAAAAATTTGAAAAAGGCTCTGAAAAATAAAAAAACTGCAGTATTTAATAAGGAATGGTGGAAACCCTTTAGGACCTGGTCCTTTGTAGATACCTAAGGTAGACTGTTTTTTATAAATCGCTGAAAGAAATATATATATAATAAATTGTGATAAATTGATTCCACCAGAAACTGAAATTACCATCATAATCCTGCAAAAGACAGTCTCTATCACTGTAAGTTTTTAAAAAGTACTCAGCAAACAAATTTTAATGAGAAGGGGAGAATTGGCGGTAAAATAATATCAAGTGTGTTTGATACCAAAGAAGCAACGTCGAAGCAACTGTACATTTCGTATTTTCTAGAATAGAACAGAATAATGAGGGATTGTTGGGAATATGTTAAAACTTTAACAACAACTGTTTATTGTTTGATAGTGTCTCGATTTTTGTATGCGAAATCTCGGTTAACTATACGGAAGAATCAAAACTATCAAGAAACTAGTTTTATATTTCCACCATATTTATATAAAGTTGCGAAACTACAACATATCTCATATTCCTCTTTTTCATTTTACGTTTTGTTTTTATTTTTTTTTTTCAATGTATTCTCGGTAATATTAGTTACTTTTTGTTTGTAATCATTATTTTGAATATTTTCCTCGTTATTTACTATTTTTATTGTGAGTTTATTACAATTTTAGTTTAAAAAGGTTTTATTTGTTTAATTCTTAATAAAAATAGTAAATAATATTAAAAATGTCACAAGAAAATGTACTAGCTTTTTCATTTCGTAATGTCAGCAACATTTTTTTTTGCTATGTTAACTTCTAAACTGTCTTTTTTTTAGGTGATTGGCTTTCTAAGAACCTAATACAAGGATCCAGAGTAGGTGTTGATCCCAAAGTATATTCGTACAGCAAATTCAACCCTCTGCAATCCAAACTAGAGTCCTCTGGTCACCAACTGGTCCCCATTACTACGAATCTTATAGAACTTATATGGAGCGATAGACCAGCAAGACCTACAAATCCGATAAAGCCCCTTGCGAGAAATTACACCGGAAAATCTGTAGCACAAAAACTAAAAGAAGTCAATACTGCCATGAAAGAAAAGCACGCTGAATATTTAGTACTATCGGCCTTGGACGAAATAGCCTATTTTCTTAACCTTAGAGGCTCTGATATCGAATTCAACCCCGTATTTTTTTCCTATGTTATCATCGGTAACAATAATTTTACAGTGTTTTTGAACGATAAACAAAATAGTAGTGCTGTTAAGGAACATTTGGATTCTGAAGTTGAAAACAGTAGCTACAAGATTGAAAACTACGATAATATTGAGAAGAAAATAGAAGAACTGACCAATAAAGTTGAAGGGTATGTATAGATAATTAACAATTTCATTTTCTATCTCGCTCAGATTTTCAAATTTATGCTGTTAAGATTGTACAGGTAGTTTAGTTATACATAGGCCATATTTTGTCATTGACCGTCAATAGTAGCGAAAATTAACCTTTATTTTCAAATTCAATCTTAAATGTTATACTTACTGTACATGTTGTAGATATATATGGTTTTCGGAGCACACCAGCTTTGCTCTGACAGATCTTGTCCCCAAGAAACACAAATTGATGACCGATATAACACCCGTTTGCTTGATGAAAGGCGTCAAGAACGAAACTGAGATCCAAGGTATGCGCAACTGCCACATAAGAGATGCTGCTGCTCTGTGCTGCTACTTTGCCTGGCTAGAGGCCAACGTAAAATCTGAAAAAATCACCGAAATTTCTGGCGCAGACAAACTTTTAGAGTTCAGAAAGATGCAGAAGGACTTCGTCGGGCCTAGTTTCGCGACCATAAGTTCTGTAGGTCCACATGGAGCTATTATCCATTATAAACCTAATCATGATACAGACGCACAAATTACTGCAGATCAGGTATATCTCTGCGACTCCGGCGGCCAGTATCTCGACGGTACCACCGATGTAACGAGAACGCTGCATTTTGGAACACCAACTCCTTTCGAAAAAGAGTGCTATACGAGAGTTCTTAAAGGGCAACTTAAGTTGGGTTCCCGCATATATCCGTCCAAAATTAAAGGTAATTGATTATGTATTTATCTATTTCAATATGCAAATGTACAATGGTACATTTACGAAACAAACTCAATTTATTAAATTATGATATTAGAGAGATCTTTTATATCGATCGTATTAATGATAGCCTTTGATCTATTTTGTGCGAATCATCTCCAGTATAGGGTAAGAACGTGTACCTCTGGACATTTCACAAAATGTTACTTTTGGATTTTTTATTAGACCAATTATAATGCTAAGAAAAAAATCTTTTTGTGCAACGTGTTTATCAAACTGTTTTGAATTATCGTGAATTTTGTATAATATATTAGTTGCACCATTTTCAAAATTAACCCCACGCTTTGAGGCAGTGGTAATTTAAGCACTACATCTTGAAAATCGACTGCATATGGTTCTTCTTTTCCTTATATAAAATGAAAGTTTTGTTGCGTTTTCTTATAAATTTTTACACAACTAGTATCATTATCAATCGTTTCCAGTACTTTAGCTACGTAATGTTTAACTAACTTTTTAGAACAGAATTTAACCAAACTAAAGTATCCTACTACTATTCTTCTTCTTTGAGTACCGTGTCCAAGTTTTAGGCGTGGGTAGCTTCCATGACGATTTGCGGATATCGTTCTCGATCTTGCTCGGCATGTAATAATTCATCTGCTGATAAGCCAGTCCATTGACGAAGGTTTCTGAGCTATGAATATTTCTTTCTACCAATTCTCTTCTTCCGTCGATCTTTCCGCTGAGTATCAACTGCATTATCCTGTATCTTCTTCGTCTCATTATATGCCCCAAATATTCGAGTTTTCTCTTTTTTATCATCTTTATTAAGTCACCTTCCCCTTGACCTACTCTGTTCAAGACTTCTCTGTTTGAAATGTGTTGAACCCATGATATTCTGAGCATTCTACAATATAAACACATCTCGAAGGATTCTAATTTGTTCATCATGTTAACCTTCATAATACAGGTTTCACATCCATACAGTAATACAGGATACATATAACATTTTAGGAACTTAATTCTCAGCTGTAAATTCATCTGATAAGTGCTGAGAATAGATCATAAGTTTCATAAATGCTCCTCTTGCAATTTCTATACGAGTTTTAATTTCTTCATCCGGATTTAGTGCCTCGTTTATCCAACATCCTAGATATTTACAATGGTTAACTTTTGTTATCGGTTCATTATTGACAATTAGTTGTATAGCGCCGAGGTCTTGTTTACTAACCACAGGTAACTTTGTCTTTGTTGTATTTATGCTTAGTCCGTTATTAAAGCATTCTTTAGTGACTTGATCTATAAGGAATTGAAGATTTAGAGAACATTTTACATATTCACTAATAAATCTTAATTTAAACAGAGTTGTTTTTATTATTGTACTTTTCTTTTAAAGGTAACTGCTTGGATTCGTTCGCACGTGAATTCCTCTGGCAAGTAGGTCTGGACTACGGTCACGGAACAGGCCACGGGATCGGTTCTTATCTGAATGTACACGAAGGACCAATGGGTATCTCATGGCGACCAATTCCTGAAGACCCCGGTTTAGAACCAGGCATGTTCATATCCAACGAACCAGGATTCTATCAAGATGGCGAATTTGGCCTTAGAATCGAAGATATAGTCCAAGTAGTTGAAGCGAAACCACCCCATAATTTTAATAACAGGGGATATTTGACTTTTGAAACTATTACTTTAATGCCGAAGACCAATAACCTTATTTTAGTGGAAATGTTAACTGATGAGGAAATTAAACAACTTAACGATTATCACAAACATTGTTTAGAAGTTGTTGGAGCTGTTTTGGACAAACAAGGCCAGATTCAAGCTAAAGAATGGTTGGTTAGAGAAACAAAGCCTTTAACTAGATAGAATATGTATATTTTTGTTAAAACTAAATTTTGTTGTAAGAATTTAATAAATGCATTTAACTTTTGGAGTTCTTTCACTTTCTTGGTACTTTCCAATTATCTGTAATTGCATTCAAACAATATAAAAATAATTATTCAATTACAAATATATATATATATATATATATATATATATATATATATATATATATATATATATATATATATATATATATACATATATATATATACACGCTTTGCCCTTTTTTTAATAGGTATGATTAGGTTGCTTACCTAATAGATTCAAATAGAAAAAGGAAACCTAAAAGTGACATGTTTGTCTTATAACCTCTATATTACATACAACCTTGGTCTTAAAATATATTCAAAATTTCAAGTCTATCGGTCAAATAGTTTAAAGGTATTTAATTTGTTTATCCCAAATTAACTTCTTTTGCAACAATAAAGCCTGAAAATTATACAGCTATATTAATTATACGAGTAGCTTCTGAAAGAAAAAAAAATTCTATTAATATTAAAAAAAAATAAGAAAAAATAATTTTAAATGTTGCAAAATAATTTTCCAAAAACATGTCGATTTTTTGCTTATAAACAATTTAAATAACTTTTTAACCATTGTCTACAAGAAACTGATTTTTTCATATTTAGAAGGCCTGAATTTTTTTACAAAGTTAAAAGATAGTTGACCTAGGACACTTAGGGACGAAGTTAGTGTCTTTTTTTTTATAAATTGATAGCAGCTTTGTTTATATCAATTAAGAGACTTTATTAGGGTCATCTGAAAGAACATACTTTAAAGTTTTAATGTGCAAAATTTTAAAAAGATTGCATTTTAATTGAATCGTTCACAAATATTCAAAAATGTGGTCCTCAAAATTGGTCAAAGCTCCTTTTTTTAATAATAGGAGAGTTTTTTCAAGAATAAAGTTATTCTTATGATTTTTATGTAAAATGCTTAATTTAAACGTAAATTGCAAATAAACTACTAAAATAGCCGAAAAAATCAATTTTTGCGTTTTTTGAAACCATTTTTTAATAGTTTGAACATCAGATGTAAAAAAAACAAAAAATTCTTAATTCGATTGTTTTTCTCTGAGATTCCTTGTCGTATTGATTTTGTCTTAACAAATGAACTTACTAAACTTATGTTTGATTGAGCTACAGTAGAATTAGTTTTATTATACCTATTGCATTTCGCTAGTTTCCATCAGAGTGTCGGTTGTCGCATAGTTTGCGCTAGTTCTACTAATTTTCTTTCACGAGACATTCCGTAATTAGAAAAACCTCTTACTGTAACTGTATTTCGGCCTAAACTGAATTGATTTTCTCAAGTGTGTGTCTGTGAAAATATTTTTTCAAAACACCTAGGTATTCGACTTTTGAAAACAAACATCGCACTTGTGAGATTTTTTTCAAGTGTGTGTGTTCGCAAATGAATTTTCAAAATGCCTATTCGAGCAAACTGCTTAGTAAAACGCATTGGTATTACATTAATGGCATTGTTTCATTAATCCAAGGCTTTCATCATCATCATCAATGGCGCTACAACTCTTCGTGAGTCTTTGCCGCGTTTACTATTGCCTTCCATGTTTGTCGGTCCTGTGCCAGTAATTCCCATTGTCGCACTCTCATCTTCTCTAGATCTTCTCTGACTGCATCTTTCCACCTTTTATCGCTGTCGTGGCAATTCCAGATCTGTACCAACTTAGTACAGTCCATGTTCCTAATAGAATATCCTTTGTCCGCAGCTTTCGTCGTTTGTTTTTTATAATCTGTCCTATTCCGAGGCAATAATATTCGTTTCATAGCAATATTTTTTTTACTTGTATGGGTCGCTGGTCCGTAGCAAAACCTCCTTTTCGGAGGACCATGTTCTCCCTTCCTCGTTCGTCCTGACCCTGCCTTCCATTGGGGTTGGTTACCCAATCTTCAACAAGGTTGCTCAGGTTTCCAGGATCCACCCGTGTGGTCAAGACCACATTTCGTGGGGGTGAGGATAGGAATTGAGTAGGAGAGGCTAGAGATGCTAACTGGAAACAGCATCTCATAATGCGCATCACTATTCCTTTAAATCCAAGGCTTTGGCACATTTTAATGCTAAAAGAATTCTTTATAGTAAAATACTACGCCTTTGGTTTACTTAATTAGACAATTCACATTGCATTTATCGTTAGTTCTTCTGAAACACGTGGTTTAAAAAAAGAAAAAGAAGAAATACCTAACCTATGTTTTGGCTAGCATGTCAGCATGTGTTAATTATTTTCCCGTATAGTTTAAAAAATATTTCCTTCCTTTTAAAAATTTGAATATAAGATAATAATATCTATGATGGACGATGAAGATTTTCCTCGTGGTGGAGTTCGTCCAAAAAAGGCATTAAAAAGGAAAGAGGATGATAATGTGAGTATTTTTAAAATGATCAACAAATCCAGCATATTTTATATTTTATCCTGGTTGGAAGGATAACTCCTTCCTATCTCGATGATATATTATAAAAAATCATAGATTATTTTCTTGTAACACCCCTTTTATAGAGAAATTTACAATATTTGAAATAGTGCCAAATAAAACACATAAACATTGATCCCTATTGGGACCTATGTTGATGTGCCCTATTAGCACACAGTAAAATGTTGGTTTTTAAAGTTATGATGTATTTTTCTTTGGTTGTTAAATTATCCAGGGAGTCAAAATATTTTGACAAAGTTATGGCATCAAGAAGCAGGCAAAGTTATTTGTGTACACTACTTTCACATAAAGTAAAGCAGTTATTTGCAAAGTGTACACTACTTTCACATAAAGTAAAGCAGAAAAACAATATTATTAAAGAAAAAAACTTTACATATTACACAACAATGTAATGCAGTGGCATGTTTGATTCACATTAGTTTTTTGCTACCGTAATACATATGGAAAGTCCACTTTGTCATTAAAAACATTGTATTAAATTCTATATTTATATACATGTGAAATAAATTTATGTCCTATGTATTAATATAAGTATTATGCTTTTAGCTTTTTTCTACTACCACTAAACCAAAACCAAAAAAGGCCAAAAAAGCAAAGAAATCACAAAGTGAATCTGATGATTCGTTTCACTCATGTCTTCAAATATCTGAAACATTATCATACAGGGTAAGTATACTAAAAGAAAAAAGATTTATGTAGCTAGTATTGTAGCCATTAAAATGTGTTTGTCTTTTGTTATTTTAAAACATGTATACTGTTTCATTTAATATATAGGTATTTTTCATTTTTATTTCATTTAATATATTTTTTAACAATATTAATATTATATGCATAATAATAATAATAATATTTTTTCTCTATTTCATTCCATGCTTTATTTGTCGCTATATATATACTTTGGTTGATTGAGCCTATTAGCTCATTTTGCAATTTTTTTTTCAATTATTCTGGAATGAAAACATTCATTATGCTTTTCATTTATTTTCTGACTTTATCAACTTCTTTTCTACAGTTTTCTCCATTTTTTTATATTATTATTTGGCTTTTTGCTGTTCTTCCTTTGTTCTTTTTACTGTCTTTTTATTTGTCTGTGTAAATATTTGTTATCTTGTCCCCTCAATTTTATTTTATTCTACAATATTCATAGGTAATTTGTCATCATCATCTTGGTGCTACAGCCCTTAGAGGGCCTCGACCTGCTCAAGCTTTCTACGCCATTCTGTTCTGTCCCGTGCTTGAATTTTCCAGTTGCCGACTCCGATCTTCTCTGCATCTTGTGTTACCCCATCCATCCACCTCAGCTTTGGTCTACCCCGTCGTCTCATTCCCAAAGGTTGCGCTGTTAGAATCTTTTTTATCATGTTCGATTCAGGGGCCCGGGCTACATGTCCTGCCCACTGCAGGCGGTTTCGCTTAATTATAGTGGTAATATCTTTACCACCAAACGTATGCTTGTAGATATTCTGCAGTTCGAAGTTATATCTACGCCTCCATATTCCGTTCTCACAGACCACTCCAAATATCTTGCGTAGCACCTTTCTTTCAAAAATGGATAGAGCAGATTCATCTGTTTTCGTTAGCGTCCATGCCTCTGATCCGTATGTGAGAACGGGGACCATCAGTGTTCTATACAGCCTTATACGAGTTTTTTGAGACAGACGTTTGTTAGCTAAGTACTTTGATAGACCATAATAACACCTGTTTGCAATTATTATTCGCCTTTTTATTTCCCCAGATGTATTGATATTGGGGTTAACCGATGTCCCTAGATATATGAACTCATTGACTGCTTCGAAGTTTTGGTCATTGATGATTAAATTTGTGTCAGCATTTCCAGCTCTTGTGTTTGTGTTAGTCGCCATGAATTTGGTTTTATTTTGATTTATATGTAACCTCATTCGTTCTGCTGCTGCTACTAGCTCGGTTAGGATTTCCGCAGTTCTCGCCCTAGTTCTTGTTATAATGTCCATGTCGTCTGCATATGCTAGAATTTGGACTGATCTATTAAATATTGTTCCCCTGCTATCTAAATTAGCGTCTCGTACAACTTTTTCTAAGGCGACATTTTCTAGGTAATTTGTACATAATAATAAAAATCATTGATAGTTTTATATAAATATTTAAAGTTAAGTACTTAGGCCTTGTTACTAATATTTAATTTTAAAATAAACTTTTTACGTGATATTTACTGATTTTAAAAATCATTTTTAGAGCATGAAGCCAGATATGATAATTTTGGCTTGTATAAAAAAAATTAAAGATGTATCAATGGAGATTGAGCTACCAGGACTAACATTTGGACAGATTAAAATTATTAATATATCTGATTCATTTACAAAGTATTTAACAGAAAACAATAATGAGGAGGTAAGAGTTAACCAAAGAAACTATAAATTAACAAAACTAAAGAACTTAAGGAAACAGGCAAAAGAAAACTGAAATGACATAGTTGAACAGTTTTATGAAAGTTGTGTATGAGAAGTGCTGGAAAAGTACAAGAGCACTATATTGTTTATAAAAACAAAAATTCTACATAGATACCAACACATGTTGGTAAAAACTAAATTTTTGTTTTTAGCCCTCTACATGATCCAACATTTTTTTAAAACAGTTAATAACATTTATAAAAAACCGAAAATGCTGACGTATTTTGCTACTTTCTAAGCAACAAATAAGAATAAAAACATTTAAAAACGCCATTTTGAAGGTTTTTTATACAGCTTATAAGACTGTTATGCTTAAATTTGTTTCAAACGCTTGATTTTTTGTTAATAGATAAAAAAATGAAAATTTATTATTTTTTGACCTTAATTTCTTAATAACTAATTCCAAGTCCAAAAAATCAACTAGAGGAAACATAAATATAGGCTCTTGTTCATCGAGCAAAAAGACAATAGAGGGAATCGAATCGTTATGAAAAGGAGACCAAAAAAGTGGTGGTCAAAAAAGAATGTGCCAAATTTAAATTTTATGGCACTTCACAATAATCATACAGTGGTGTAGGGGTTCTAATTTGTCTATTTATTTATTAATATTACATAATATTAATATTACATAATATTAATACATAATATACTTAAAATACTTTTTTTAACACTAGAACACAATAAAGTTTTAATTAAACAATAACGATAATAGTCTAAAATGTGAAACAATTGTTAAAAAACTTCAATAGAAAATACAAATATTCTTTCATGTGACAGTTGGGACAAACAGTAACATCAGCAATAACATAACACAACAAAACTTGATTTCTTAGAGAAGGAAAGAGACTATCTCTCCTTGTCTAATGTGACTCTCAAGATAGTACTTCCTGTTAACACTATTTTTGCCCCGCTACCTTTACATTCCCTCTTTTGTCTTTTTGCTCGATGCTCTTGATATGGATAGTGTAAACACTCCTGACAATGGAGCTGCACGAAGGCGAAGTCAAAATTCACATAAAGACAGAAAGGTTCTACTGTAAGTGGAATTATACAGTGCACAGTACAATGTGTTTCACATGGAAGTGGGGACTAAACCAAATTTTGTCTACTGTGCCGTGGTCAGGAGTGCTTGCACTATCACAAGGTCCATAGTACTCAAAACAATAGTTGTTTACCTGGCTGGGATAGTGTCACAAAAAGGGTACTGTTTTGCTTATTTCCTTGGTCTAATTTCATAGATTCCTACTGGATGAGCCTGTATGCTTAAAAAAGAATAGATATAATTATGTAGTTATAATTAAATGAATATAATTCCATTTTAGTCACATCTAATGTAACACCTTCATTTGTAGATCCTTACTTTGCTACCACAGATGTTTTCAGTTGGCCAAATGATACTAATAAAAATTTTAAATATAGAAAATAGAGATCAAGGTACCCATATTCAGTGTACTTTAAACCCTAGAGATATCAACAGTGGAAAATTCCATAATTCATTCCCTGAAGGGTTGTTGGTATGGGCTGCAGTTACATCTGAACTGGAGCATGGGTACAGGATGGACATTGGTGTTAACAATTGTAGAGCATTTTTACCATTTAAGAATGTGGATAAAAACCAAAAATTACGTAAGATGTTTAATATTTTTAATTAGGTGTAGAGGTTGTATTGGTCTAAAATGTTTGCGAAAATATAATCATTAGTGTTTCATATTATTAATTCTTTCAGTTATTGGGCAACCCCTTTGGTGCGTTGTTACCAAATGTGATTCATCAGAGGCTGCTGCTACAATACAACTGAGTTGTAGAACCGACCGATTAAAAAAATGTAAGATTTTGGACATTGACAGCTTACATAATCTGATTCCAGGAATGCAAGTTGATGTCTTGGTTGAAACAGTAAGATATTTTAATATTTTAATATTCTATTATCGCACCTCAGCAACAACACTGTCATAAGTCAAAAATTGCCATTTTGAGTAAATCGGGTATGAAGATTATCCTTACTATTTAACAATTGAATATTTCTATAAATTGAATGATAATGTTGTTATTTTTACTTCAACAAGATTAACCTAGGTTGTTTTATCAATTAATATTCTGTATTGTAGAAATTTGAAACGAACATTAATTATGTTTGTTTATAACAAATGTGTCTGAGTTACTGAAAACTCAAAGATGAATTATAACAATGTGCCACTGTTGCTGATCACAGTGGTTAGAAATTGCACAGAAATTGAGGTTAAACATGAAAATTGTGATAGGTTACAATAATTGTTAAGACATTTTAATACATTTTTTTTAGAAGAATACCACACAAAGATAATTACATAAGAACATAAAGTAAATTACATATTACAAAATAATCGTTAGAAACATCTACCTATTTAGATTTTTAACATTAATTTTAAAGTAACTGCTGGTTTTTGATGCCTTTCTTTGGTAACTGAATCACAAGTAGTTCCCTGTTGATTTTTATTCCATATGGTTGTCTTTCAAGTGCCTTTTTAAATAACTGGTTCAAGTAAACATTGAACAATGTTGGCGACAAAATGCAACATTGTCTGACTCCTCGTTGTATGGAGATTTCATTGATGTAGTTATCTCCGATTTTTATGATAGCAGTTTGAGTCCAGTACAAATTTTTAATGACAGGAATATCCTTGTCATCTATTCTGATAAGTTTCAGTAATTGCATTAATTTTACATACTGTACTTTATCGAATGCCTTTTCGAAGACCACAAATCCTGCAAATACATCTTTTTTTGGTCACGGCATCTTTGTAATAGGATGTTAAGCGCAAAAAGTGTCTCCCTGATTTCCATAGCATTTCTAAAACCAAATTGGATATCTTCGAGATCTTCTTCGCATTTGGGTCTAATTCTGTTGTGATGTATTCTTAGGAAAATTTTAAGAGAGTGGCTCATTAGGCTAATTAATCGATATTCTGAGTATTTTCTCGCATTGTGTTTTTAGGTATTGCGACAAAGATGGATTTGAGCCAATCTGTGGGAATCACTCCTGTGTTATATATTGAACTAAAAATTCTTACTACTACTTTTATATTATCATCCTCTATTAGTTTCAGTAACTCAGTTGGTGTATCATTTGGACCACAAGCTTTTCTAATTTTAGCATTATTTATAGCGTGTTTGACCTCGCATTTCATAATTTCTGGTCCGTCAGTACAGTATTGATAGAATTCAGCAATATTATTCCTGCCATCTTCAAACAACTCTGGTATATACAGCTGCCATTCTTTCCTTATTTCATGCTAATTTACAATAATTGTGTTATTATTGTCAACGAGTATAGAGGGAATTCGTTTTTTAAATATATTACTCATTTCTTTTAGTTTTTTTTGTGCACATTAAATATGTCGTGTTTAGATATTTACATCCTCCATTTCGTCGCACCTTTGCCTTATCCATTTTTCTTTGGCTAATTTGATCTCCCTTTTTATTCTACTCTGCAGGTGTCTATATTTTGTTTCATTAGATTTTATCAGTCGACGTTGTTCCATTAATTTCAAGATGTCGTTTGTCATCCATTTATTTTTCTTGATTAAGTTTTTTCTATAATCATTGTTTGTGGAGATTTCGTTAACTTGGTTTTTAAAATCACTCCATAGTTCTTCTAGATCTTCTAGTTGTTCTCCGATGTTTTTTATTCTATTGTTAAATTCTTTTTTAATGTTATGTTTTATGTTTATATTGTCAAAGTTAAGTACATTGGTTTTTGGTTTTTTGTCGCTGAATTCGTTTTATCCTTAGTATAATATCTGCTACAAGTGGTTGATGATCAGATCTAATACCTGCTCCAGGAAATGTAATTACTTTTTTGACGGCATTTCGGAAACGCTCATTTACAAGTATAGTCTATTCGATTTCTTGAGGACTCAGGGTTATGCCATCATCAAATGGGGCTTTCCAAGTGTATAGTCATCGCTTGGGTAGTTTATACCAGGTGTTTGCAATGATTATATCATTTTCTTTACAAAATTCATACAATCTCTGTCCTCGATCGTTAGGTTGTCTTAGACCATCTAACAGGATTTCCAAGGATCTACAGTCTGATCTCGTCGACCTTCCCCAATTTTTGCATTGAAGTCGTCTATAATATATAAAATTTCGTGTTTATTAAGTTTCTGTAAGATGTCTTGGATCTGATCATACAACTTCTCGACTTCATCGTCATATTTTCTATCTGCAGTCGGCGCAGAGATTTGAAGTATATTAGTTTTAAAAGGTTGAGTAATTATATAGAGTAATATTATTCTTTCCGAGACTGGTATGAAATTGGTCACATATTTACTCAGTTCTAATATTACTAATATACCTACACCATTTTTGTGATGCGGGTCTTCTGTGCTGTTACCGGAATAATATAATACACTTCCGTCCTTTTTACATGATCCTAACTCAGCCATCTCATTTCACTGATTCCCAGTAGGTCTATTTACATTCTTTTCATTTCTTGAATTGCGTTGTCAAGTTTTCCATCCGCAAATAGACTTCTAACATTCCATGTGCACATTCTAAAATTAGATTTCTTTATTTTTAGAATTTCTTCACGAGGTTTTCGCATGTTTTTTGTACTTTCCATGATTAGTAACGGTTTGCAGTGTCAATTCTATGGTGATTTTCCTGGGGGCGCTCTATGAGCCGTTAATGCAGTGGTTCCCCTTTGCCTTCTGCATTCTTATGCTGTTGACCATTATTTGTTGATTCATCTGCCTTCGGGGCCGAATTCTCAATCTTAGTACATAATAATGCCCTACCACTCACCAACTCATCCGCCCTAAGCCTTTGGTCAGTAAGTGGGTGATTGCTTATACCAGCAATCACTAGGATGTCAGAGCCTCAGTTGTTATCTAACAGGATGCACCGGATGACCATATTCAAGATCATCACACGGGCAGGTGAGGTTGACATTTGGATGGAAGAGGCTATATGTTGCGCACCACTCTCCCTTTCATCCCACCATACTCCTATCTATGTGTATATAGGGGTGTCAGCATAATGTTTGACAGAGTTATATGAGGTAGTTTAAATAATTACGTTTGTTTTTATTAATTTGGTTGTAAAAATTAACACCCTGTAAGAGATTTTATATAAAAAAATATATTTTATACATATATTTAATACCTCACAAATTAAAGCAGTTAGGTTTAGGGAATGCTAAATGTCAGGTGGTTTATCCAGCACAAATGTGCACAAAAAGCACAATTGATGCAATCATGAGTGTACTCGAAACATTGCACAACAGAGGGAATGAACATCGCTGGGCGGCCCTGCTGTTGTTTGATGTTAAGAATGCATTCAATACGCTGCAGTGGAACGAGGTAATGAAGGCAATGGAGGAGAGAGAATGTCCTGGTTACCTGATGAATATTATGGCGGAGTATCTGTCCGAGAGAAGGATTATGGTGGAAAAGGGCACGATCGTGGACGTGACGGCCAGGGTACCCCAGGGATCTGTCTTGGGCCCGACGCTATGGAATCTGGCATATGACGGGGTTATGCACTGTGAATACGGAGAGGGTACAACCCCCTTCGCATTCGCGGATGACCTCGCTGTACTGGTAGTAGCCCGGGATGAGCCAGATCTCAAATACCGGGTTCGGAACGCAGGTGGCGTCGTAAAGAAATGGATGACGCAGCACGGACTAAAACTTGCGACAGAGAAAACCGAAGCCATTATTCTGAAGGGGACAAGGAACAGGCAAGGTGTTGAATTGAAATGTGCGGGAGTATGTCTAACACCCAAGAGACAAGTAAAGTATCTAGGAGTGACATTGCACCAGAATGGAAAATGGGGGGAACACGTTCGGGAAGTGGTCCGAAAGGCTGCGAATAGTGCGGCTGCGTTGGGGAGAGTGATGCCGAACATTGGAGGACCCAAATCCGAAAGGAGGAGGGCCTTACACGGTGTTGTACAGTCTATCGTTCTCTACGCAGCACCAGTCTGGAGTGAGGCGGTAGAGATAACGGCGTATAGGAGTCTTATGAAAAGAGTAGACAGAACAAGTCTGTTGCGAGTGGCATGCGCCTACAGGACTGTGTCTGCGGCAGCCTTATGGACCATCACTGGATGTGTTCCGTTGCATATTTTGGCGGTGGAAAGAAAAGAGCTTTATGAGAGAAGAGGCCCAAACCTTACTGTGGCTGAGAGAAGACAAGTAAGGGAAAGGTCAGTTGAAAGATGGCAAGAAGAATGGAACAATACGGAGGATGTGGCACAGTGGACGAAAATGCTGATCCCTAACATAAGAGTTTGGGTGGACTGTGACCACAGGCGATTGGATTATTTCCTGACGCAGGTGCTCACAGGACACGGGTGTTTTAGGGCCTACCTTTATAGGATCGGTAAGGCTGATACAGATGAATGCCTATATTGTGGATACTCGGACACTGTGACACATACGATGTTAGATTGCAGCAGATGGATAATGGAAAGGAACAGAATGGAGAGAGAGAGACAGGTGTGAATTTTGTTACAGTGAGAGAAATGATCGAGAGAATGATTGAAAATAAATTAGGTTGGATTAACATACATAGTTATATCCATGCAGTGATCAAAAAAAAAGGAAGAGGAAGAAAGACAGCTGGACCAACGGCAAAGGTAGAGTGAATGATGCTGAAAGGTGAAGTTAGAACAGTGAGTCACACTTTTTGAGTTAGAATGCGTGAGTTTGACTGTGGGAAGGAGAAAATGCCCTTCTGAGAATGATACCGAAATAGGAGTGTGGATGTGTATGAATGGAGAATGAATGAATAAAGGTAGTGCTTCGGAAGTGATGCCGGCCTTACAGCGGCCATTCCGCTTCCAGATCGCTGGATGACAGAGGAGGGTCTGGTTTAGCAGGTAGGCGTTCGGCGTAGACTCGGCGACGAGAGGACATTTTAAAGTACCTCTGGAACTATCGCCGGGAGTACGAAGAACGAATCCTGCACTAAGGTCAGTCAGGCGGCGTCCTGGACTGAGATGTCTTTTGAAGATTCCAGACCCCCCCTCTATAAAGACGAAAAAAAAAAAGGTATAGGGAATGCTTAGACAATTTTAGATTTCTTTCTAGGAGACTTGTCAGATAGGTCAGAAAGGTTTATAGGACCTTAGAAATATTAGTCTAAATTTGTTTCATTAAATCATGTATGAATACAAGATGTTTGTTTGTGACTGATATTAATAAATCCACTTTTAAGTAATTTTAGTCAGTTCTAACTGAAGGCGCTCTAAATGCAGTGGCTCTCTAAATTCGGTTTATAATAAAAACATCGCTACTAAACATTTTATTTGGTGTTTATTGGTGATTGTTTTACGGATTTCATTACAGATTGTAAATTTGACCACAAACTATTTTCTAGGTTAAACATACAGGATTGTATGGAAAATTCCTTAACAATTTTTTCGCGTACATAGACGAAGGTCAACTTGAGAAGAGCGTGTCTAAATATGAAGAAGGCAACTTACTGACAGCATATGTGCTATACACGGACCACATAACAAAAATTACATATTTAACAATGTTTGATATGGACAAAGTACCTACTCCTAAATATAAACAAGGAGATATTTTAGTGGGAGAGGTAAGGTTTTTATACATTTTTTTTATACTAAATGATACCTACTGGTCAATAATTATAAAGGTTTATATATCATAGCGACGAATCATTTTAACTAATTCTTTTTTCTTTTAGGTTATTTCAAAAGCACCTAAAGGCATCTATCTTAGCCTACCATCCAAAGAAAAATGTTTCGTAACCAACAAACGCCTATTACTCTGCTTCCCCAAAAAATATAATGACTCTGACTTAAGTGACTCCTTAAAACTAAAGTTTGTAGTTGGAAGCCGACACTCCTGTCGAATACTAGCCTACAATAATATAACTAGAAGCTACATAGGAACAATGGAGCAGAAAATTATTCGAGAACAATATTTTACTCATGCTGATCTAAAACCAGGCCAGTTAGTGGAAGGTGTTATTGAGGAGATCGGAGAAAGGGGGTTGGTTGTAAGAGTTGGCCGTGTCAAATGTTTTGTCCCAAATTTTTATCTTTCTAATGTTGCTTATACTGAAAATATAAAGAAGAAATTTAAAGAGGGACGTGCTGTAAAAGCTAGGTAAGTCACTGTATATTAAAATAAAATATGTCTTATTAAAGAGTATAGCGTGATAAGATTGTAAAATCTACACTCGACTGGAATTTTTATTTGGGATTGTTCACTTGGAGGTATATGCTATTTAGAAACACTTTTAGCTGAGTTTTTAGCTCTCTAGATGACCACAGGCGTCTCATATCAAGAGAATTTTTAGGCTATGTACGTAATTTTTGGCAAAGTTTTAAATAATTATTTTTCGTTTATTTTTTTTGTTTTTTTTTTAATTTGCCACTTTGGAACATTCTCAAAATTCGAAAAAACTTAATTTTTTGGCGTTTCCCCCATGTTTTTAACACATAAACTCAACTGCATGTCAATAAATAACGATTTTTGATATGTTTTTTCGTTATTTCTGATAGCGTCATCAGGTTTGCCATTTTCAGATCAGAACATAATCAAAATACAACAAACACTCTTTTTGACATTTCTAAAAAATTTACTTACAAAAATTTCAATAAACAATAACAAGAAACAATTGAAAAACGTTAAAATTAATCAATATAATGGTTACTTCCGGTATAGACGGAAGTTCTAGTCTAGAGGATTCAAGGTATTTCACATTCAAAAGGCAAGTCAAAAGACATGAATGTTATTTTTTCAAATATTTTTGTAGATTTGGGTACGACATTGTGTTTAATAACCATCGAGTTAGAATCTATGGAGAGGGCATCACGTGAATAAAAACGACCTCACTTCGGCCATATTGTTAAGAATATTGTTTTGACACTTTTGACAGATCGTATGTTTGTTTACATTTGTTGATTTTCGAATATTTTTAGTTTTATAATACTTTTATAGAAACTGTAATAATATATTGTGATAGTGCATAATAATGGTTTCTTGTTCTCAACGTAGTTGCAGTAGCAGAAGCAATGTTAATAAAAAATCTTCAGGAATATCGTTCCACAGGTTAGTATACAAATATGTAAACAAAGTAATGGCCCGTACTTCAGATAATAAATTAATAGTATTTGACTGTATTAATTTATCTTTATGTATAATATATTGTGTTTTTAGTGTTTACCGCGGGATAAATAAATCATAGTTTATTAAAAATGTATTGCACTTTTTTAGATTATGATTAAATCTTCTGAATAACTAGTCATATTTGTATAGTAGATTTAATATTATTGAGTCTGGCCCTGATATATTAGTATTAACGTTAGCGACGCCTACCTACGTAGTTTTTAATACATACGTTAATATGCTCATAGCTTCTCCATAGATTCTAACTCGATGTTAATAACACATTCATACATTAGTTTGTACTATTCACAGTATTTTCATTTTTATTTAATTTTGTGAAAACTTTGGAAACTGTTTATGAAAGTAGATAGTCTAATTTTTATTACGAAATAAATCTTATACAGTATCGATTAGTAGAGAGTAATTAAAAGCATTCGTTTATATTAAAAATTATATAAATAATTAGATTAATTTTGATTGAAGTTCTAAAAGGGTAATGTTTTAAAGCGGGTAGCGGGTAGGAACTACTTTAGATAATCTATCAGGGAAAATGAATCAATCCCTGCCCTTCGCAGACTTCAGGGGTTTCCTGACCCGGGAAACTACTTAGGGTCCCTTATCCAGGGTCACGGATGAAGTCCACAACGGCAGCCACGGCGAAGAAGAATACCTTCGTACTGCAACCTCACAAGTTGAAGTTGTCAAGTATCAATACGAAATTACCCCAGGTGAGTAGAGTTATACACTCAGAATCTCACACTGAGCAATCAGTCAGCCTCATGGATTCTGAAGGAGGCAAATATTCGACTGAATCTAATAAGAAAAACTACCCATCATTGCTTCGTATAGCCACTTACAATATAAGAAGTATGAGGACCCAAGAACACCTTGACGAACTAGAACAAGAGCTCTCAAATATCAAATGGGATATAATTGGACCGTGCGAAACACGCTTACCAGTAGAAGCATGTACCATCTTAAAATCTGGTCATCAGCTATACCAGAAAAACTCAGTAGAAAATGATCACATAGGCGGTGTAGCATTCCTAATAAACAAACGAGCTCCCTATAAAGTAACGAAGTTCTGATGATCCCAGATGAATCCCAGATTAGGGATATTGTGGAAGAAATTATAAAAATGAATGCAGCTGGGCAGGTCACGTAGCCTGATATAATGAAAACAGGTGGACACGGAGAATTCTACAATGATGACCAAGGACGACAACAAGAAGCATGGGAAGACCTCAAAAAAGATGGGTAGATTACATCGAATGAAAAAGAGCACAGAAATATCAAAAACGATAAAAATTCGGAAGTTACAATATTTCGGTCATGTAATGAGACATCCAGAGAGGTATAACCTTCTACACCTCATAATACAGGGTAAGATCGACGGAAGGAGAGGCCCAGGCCGACGAAGAACATCCTGGCTACGAAATCTCCGAGAATGGTATTAAGAAACCACCTTTAATTTATTTAGAGCCGCCGTGAATAAGGTTATTATTGTCAATATGATCGCCAACGTTCGATAATCGGACAGGGCACTGAAAGAAGAAGAAGAGATATCATAAGAGCAGTGGCAGGCAAACAGTGGATTAGATTGGCACAGGATAGAGGAAGATGGCAGCAATTGGGAGAGACCTACATTCATCAGTGGATGGAAAATGGTTGACAAAGAGAGAATGTTTTAAAAAATTGTTGAATATTGAGTACTTACTTTTCGACATATTCATATTTACCGCTATAAAAAAAACACTTGAATTATAAAAATAAAGAAATCACAAATCATACAAAAAAGTGTACACTACACTACATTACAAAGTACGTGTTACGAAGTGACAGCTGTCAAATTTGTTTGGTTTGGATAATTGGGAAGGGAATAGCGCCAGATAACGTCACATATAACTATCTGCTTTGGGGACAAGAATAGATTCAAAATGTTAGTTTTTTTAAAGTTTGGTTTTGGTCAGATTTTTATGTAAAATACCTCATTTTGACGTTTTTGTCAAATTCACCTAATAAATCTGTAGAGATTTTATCTTTATAAGCGTTTTATTTAAGTATAAACTTTCAGGGTGTTGGTCATCATCAAGGAAAACGTAATTTTAACTTTAAAATCAGAGCAAGTGATGGACGATAGATGTCTCACCGATTTGGCAAATGCAAAGAGAGGTGACAGATATCCATGTGTCGTAGTTAAGACTTATCCTGAAGGTGCCCGAGTTTCGTTTTATTCTGATGTTCAGGGATGGCTCAGCAACAAGTATTTGGACGAAGAAAAGAATGATAAAAAACCGGATCCTCAACAATTATTTTTCAGAGGACAAGTGGTAAGTTTTATGAACAAATTATCAAATTTCTGATAGATTAAATTATCAAATTTCAAGACAATTGCTTTTTTTGATATCTATTGTTAGATATCAAACCAAGAACTGTTGCTTTCTGGTTTTGGAGCGTTTCAACATCTCATGAGCCTTGGAAATATGCAGCCTGAAAAAAAAAAATCAATCCTAAAAACATTAACTACTATAATATATTATAATAATTATATTATAATTTCATACTGAATTGCGCGGCAGTACGCAACGGAAAAGGACGGAGTGGGCAACATATCGTAATGATCAAGCAAGTGATTGAAAAGATGTGACCAAAATTTTGTAAGAAATCCGAGTAGAAACAAAAACAAAACATCAACACAAATAACGCTGACTGTCCTACATTAAAATAAAAAACTCATGTATATTGATACTCTCATCTGATGATGATGATAATTCTGTTAAATGAATAATAAATTCTGTTATTCTTATTTTACTTTCTATTCCTTTCACATGTATTATGTAGTTTTGCCAATTTTGCACTGTGACGTTGTATTTTTAATTAATTGTTACATGTCTTTAACATTAAATGTTTTATTGTTCATTTTAATACAATGTTTCACTTCTGCCCATACAATTTCCATAAGGTTTAATTCGCAGCGATAAGGTGGTATACGCAAAACTGTATCTTCTATCTCCTTTGCAATTATATCAAGCACTTTTTTATCAAATTCAGATTTTACCTGTGCAACGTATTTCAACAAATCTTTTTTAACATATTACAGTAATAGTCTAGTTATTAGTAATCAGCGCTTCCTATAATGCATTCCTTAAATGGATTAACCAATGACTTGGGGCTGATCTTGCAAATGTTCCTTTGGGTGAACCAAATTTTGAAGTTTATGCTTTGTTTTCACCTAGCTTAATTACCCTCTTTAGCGTACTTTCAGTTGTTTGAGCTACTCGCTCTATTAGAGATAAACGAGTTGTGCAATATTCTAATTCTTCTATTAAAGTAGCAAATTTATCCAAATATCGATATTATTTGCGGCAAGGAAACAAGCTTGTGGCAGCTTGATGTATCATGAATTAAACTTTTAAAATACATATGTATGTTTTATTTTTATAAATTTGTGTTGGTCGCCTTGGTACGAATGTATTTTCTGTGTCACTCTATCTGTTGCAAATCCCAAGATATAGCTGATGGTCATCGTTTTTGGGATATCTCGTATATAGAGTATTATTTTCAAATAATCTAGATCTGTAATATTTTTGTGAACCACCACATATTTTTTCACCCATTCATTAAACATACATGCGATCTTCTCTCATGTTGACTGGTATTAATTTGTTTGTGTATGTTTTTAGATAAATCCATGGATATTGGGAGCGAACAAAGATGTCATTCTGTCCTTGCGACCGCCGAAAGATTTCGGTTTTTTAAAGATAGGAGAGAAAATCGACGGAGTTATTAGTAAAATTACTAAAGATAATCTTTTTATTAAGACGCTGAAAGGAAAATATGTTGGCGTAGTTCCGGTGAATCACCTTAGCGAAACAATAAATTTATGTCCTACATTGATAAGTAAGTAACTTTGTAAAATCTCTTTAATACTAAATTTAAATCTAACAGTTTTCGGAAGATAAAAGATGCGGTAATACTGCTTATGCACTTGTGATCACTGTTTACCGTAGTAAATACCCATTGTTTTCTTTCTCTTTCTTAAAATACTCTAATAAATCCTATAATACAGTGCGTTAAGTTTTGGATTAGGTATACACTCTATAAATGGCAACACTGCGCATCTTCGACTTGCACTACATATCTGCTTCGTTGACTCGTCGTTGCACGTCGCCGGTCGGCAAATTTGTCATATTGTCATTATACCGTGGTTGTTTAAAGGTATAACAGCGTAGAGTTTTAATTTATTTTTGTAAACATGTCTGTTTATATGGCCGCGGAAAAAGCTCAAATAATAAAATGGTTTTATAGTGGCAATTCTGCGCAACAGTGTGTAGATTTATTTTCTGTGTTTTTTGAGGGAAGACCAATTCCTTGTGTACAGTCAATTTATAATATTGTTAAAAATTTTGAGAGTTGTTATTGCCTCAAAAATTGCAGAAAATGTCACGCTCGAGAAGTGTTACCAGAAAAAGTTGAGGAAAGAGAATACCGGGATACACAAATTTGTGCAACAATCGAGGTAGATTCAACACGTTCAAGTAGAAGCGTTGCTAGAGAGTTAGATGTTAGCAATGTTACTGTAACGAAAGTATGGAAAAAGCACGGTTACAAGAATTTTAAATATTCGAAAACGCAGCAGCTTTATCCAGACGATTACTTTCGAAGAATGGAGTTTTGTGAAACTCTAATAACGAAGGCTAATAGTGAACCAAATTTTATTAAAAACATTTTATTCACTGATGAATCTTCTGTTTCGTTAGTAGGGAGACACAATCCTTCCATTACGAGGTATTGGGCGCGGGAATACCAGCACAGAAGTGTTGTTTACCGAACTCAACGTCCTCAAAAAGTTAACGTCTGGACTGGCATTTTAGGAGACCACATAATAGGTCCATTTTTTATTGAGGGCAACTTGAATAGTAGAGTATACCTCGATTTGTTACAGAATCATGTTCTGCCCGCTATTCTCAATCTTCCTGATGTAAATCTGGAGAATGTTTGGTTTCATCAAGACGGCTGTTCAGTTTACAACGCTCTAATTATTAGGGAGTATTTAAACAATACTTTCCCGAATCGAGTTATCAGTGGAACAGGCGATATTAAGTGGCCTGCGCGATCTCCAGATCTTACACCCATGGACTTCTTTTTTTGGGGACATTTAAAAAGCATTATCTACGCTCATCCTGAGGCTAGAGCCCAAAATTTGGATGAATTAAAAAATCGAATAAGAGAAGTCTCCAATTCTGTTACAGCAGAAACTCTTTCATCTGTTTGCAGAAGTTTTTATGACAGATTGGGGTACTGTTCAGCCGTAGAAGGTCAACTATTTGAACCATTTCTGTAGGTCATAAAGAATTATTTTTTATTTTATTAGGAATAATATTTTAATTTTCAATAAGAGTATATTTTTTATTTTATCTCTTTAAAGAAATACGCTTTTATTTTTAATTCAACCACAAAAAAATTTTCACATTAATAAAAATCGATAACAATGCACCGATTAGTTCAGTGCATTTTTATCGAATTTCCTACTATTAAAATCGGCTTTACGTAATGAAACATGAGATCGGACGACAGAGAAGTACATCACTAACGTTGTTGTGAGTTACTAAACTAAAATAAATGATTTTCTGTCGGACTGTCGGTGTAGATTTTCGGGTCGGAGAACGAACATTTGCAACGTTGCCGATTTTAGCGCTCCGTGTAGTGTGCAATACCTAATCAAAAACTTAACGCACTGAATAATTCTCCTATAAATATTTCGTGGTCTACCATTCGCCAACATTGACTAAGTTGTGCTTCAAACGCCATAATATATGGCTATATAGGTGTGTATAATAGATAATGCAGTAATTTATCAATGTTGTTACAGATACTTATGCAGTCGGGGATAAAATAAACAATCTAATGTGCATCGACAACACTATTAGCCCTAATATATTGTCCAAAAGGGAATACTTAGCTATAACCAGAACGCCGAAGTTTAGAATAAAGAAATTAGATAAATTGAAATCGGGGCATTTGGTGAGGTGCACCTATGTGTCGCAGAGCAACAAAGGAATATACGTCCGCCCATTAATTTCGGATTACCCTGAAAAAGTTCTGATCAAAATTGAGGTAAGTTTGTTCAGATTTTTTTTATAAGTAAATTGATATAACTTGTGTCTATTAATTGAGTCTTGGGCCTATTTGAAATCTTTTTTCTTTAATTTTAGTCAATTATTAATTGTCTTGGAAAACACACTCGGAGGGGGGCAGCTCTCAACCTCGACACGGCGCGTCCCAATGGCTGATAGGGAACGTCCTACAGATATGTAGGACAGGTGCGAATAAGGCTTTGCCAAATAAATACCCGCGGATCAACTGAGAGCATGGCCTAGGGCAGCAGCTATGTCATTACAGGATCAAAGCGGTAGAGACAAGATCTCTGTATCGGTCTGATACCGGATAGTCACGGGCGGTAATCAAATTATGATTTAACCGGTTGTGATACTGCGGTGCAGAAAGCAACGGGAAACTACTGCACTATATTTTCCCTAGTAAAGTAACCTATGCAAAACAAAAATTTAACGGCCCCTAGTCCGCGGCAGACCTTAAGTGGTCAGGGGGTGCAAAGAATCCCCGCGAGGAGGAACCACCCGAAAGTGGAATACATTAATAACCAATCCTTGGTACGAATAGGCACTTGGAACGTACAAAGTATGTTTGAACCCGGTAAAGTTCAAAATACCATTCGTGAAATGAAAAGACTTGGAGTGGACATACTAGGTATAAGTGAGATGAGATGGTTTGGTTCTGGAAATGTATCCATCGATGACTACACAATATACTACTAGGGGAACGAACAGCAGAGACACTGGAATGGTGTAGGCCTTATAGTAACAGAGGAGATAAAAAAAGCAGTAATTGATTTCATACCCTATTCTGATCGAATGCTTCTTTTGAAATTACAGAGTAAGCCCGTAAACATAAACATACTCCAAGTTTATGCACCAACTGCTGACAAGTCGGATGTTGAAATAGAGCAGTTCTATGAGAATCTCCAAGAATTACTAAAAATGACAAAGAGTTATGAAACAACATTAATCGTACGAGATTTTAATGCCAAAGTGGGTTGTGGAAAAGTGGAACATATTTGTGGAAATTACGGACTGGGCAATAGCAATGATAGAGGTGACAGACTACTACAATTTTGCCAGGAGAAACAACTAACTATCATGAACACCTGGTTCAAGCTACCACTACGGAGGCTATATACGTGGAAATCACCCGCAGATAATAAAAACAATTGTGTCCGAAATCAAATCGATTACATTATTATAAACCAGCGATATAAAAATGCAGTAACGGATACAAGAACATACCCAGGCGCAGATGTTCCATTGGATCACAACCTACTAGTGGCTAAATTAAAAATAAAGTTCAAAATGCTAAAAAAGACTGTCAAAAGAAAAACCGACATCAATTTACTTAAACAAGAAAATATACAAAGTATGGTAAAGACTAAACTCAACGAGGAATGTGAAAGACTCCAAAGAGAGTTATCACTAACTGCAGAAGGCTTATGGACTGAAGTCAAGAATGCTTTTACTAGTGCCGAGAAATATATAAAAGACACTAATAACAAAAGAAAATCTAAACCCTGGATGACACAAAAAATTCTGGGAATGAAATAAAAAAAAAAAAACAAAAATAAAAATAATGAAAAATATAGGGAGATACATCGTCAAATCAAGAAAGAAATATATATAAGGTTCTTGAACTCCTAAGTGGAGCATAGAGCTTCAGTGAAAACGCGCCATCGGGTTCTATTTTGCGCTAAGGCCTTCACCTCATTCCAAGACTTTCCTTGTTTTCTTAGCTCGTCCATGATGGATCTTCTCCAAGTTTGTACTGGGCGACCTTTTTTTCGTTTTCCTTGGGGATTCCACTCTAGGGCAGTCTTTGCAATACTGGAGTTATTTTTTCGGAGTGTGTGACCGATCCAACCCCACTTTCTGGACTTTATTTCATTTACTACCCTCTTTTGTTTGGTTAGGTGTAGTAAGTCTTCGTTTCTGATGATGTTAGGCCAGAAAATACGAACAATTCTTCGTAGACATTTATTAACAAAGACCTGCAGTTTGTCTGTAAGGGTTTTTGTCGCTTTCCAGGTTTCACATCCGTAAAGTAGTACAGACATGACATTTGACTGGAATATGCGGATCTTTGTCCTCGTAGTGTATTCTCCAGACCTCCAAACAGGGTTGAGCATGCTGAAAGCTTGTTGCGCTTTTCGTATCCTCATACGAATATCGTCTTCTGTACCTCCGCTTTCTGTTATGACACTTCCAAGATACGTAAAGTTTTCCACATTTTCAATCTGCATGTTATTAATGGTGAATAGCGTGTTGTTTCTTGCATTTATTCTCATGGATTTGGTTTTACCAATATTGATTTTCAAACCTATTTTATTGGCTTCAGTGGAAAGTGTTTCCAATTGGTCAGCCACATCTTGGAACCTTTGTCCTAACAGGCAGATATCGTCGGCGTATTCTAGATCGCTTAAGCGTGTGGTTAACGTCCATTGTATCCCTCTTGTGTCAGAGTCTAGTTTGGAGAGAACATAGTCTAGAGCTATGTTAAAAAGAAACGGAGAAAGCACGCATCCCTGTCTGACTCCAGTAAGTACGTCAAATTCGTCACTGTTGATCCCAGTGTACAGTAACTTTATAATGGAAATTATTTTATGCGGGATGTTTCTTAGCTCTAAAATTTTCCATATTGCATCATGAGATAAGCTGTCAAAAGCACGCTCGAAATCAACAAAAACCATGTATAGGGGTGTGTTCCATTCAACCGATTGTTCCATTATTAGCCTCACAGTATTAATGTGGTCTATGCAGGAGGATTCTGGTCTAAAGCCTACTTGATTAGCTCGAAATTCAACCTTGTTTGTTAATCTTTTAAGTATGATGGTCGTGAAGATTTTATTTATGGCGGTAAGCAAGGTTATTCCTCTCCAATTTTTGCATAGTGTGAGGTTGCCCTTTTTTGGAAGCTTAGTAATGATGCCTTTTTTCCAGCCCGCTGGAATGCGGTTTGTTTCCCACACCTCTCGGATTATGGGGAGCAGAAGTTCAGCAGTTAGATGGGGATCAGTTTTAAGCATTTCGGCAGCAATGTTATCGATTCCCGGAGACTTGTTATTTTTCAGAGATTTGATAGCTGTTATTATCTCTGTTTTGGAAGGGGCATCGCAAGATATACGCAAGTCTATATTCTGTGGATTTTCGACAATTTCATCTGCGTTATCCCTGGGCGTGCCTAGCATCTCCTGAAAATGCTCTTTCCATCTCTCTATTTGGTCATTTGTTGTGGTAAGTAGTTCTCCTGTCTTGGATCTTACGACGTTTGAACAGTTGGGCCCACTTTTTGTTAGACGTCTGGTAATTTGGTATAGCTCTCTAGTTCTATTGTGTTGTGCAGCTATTTCGGCTTGTTTTGCCAGTTCTTCAGTCCATCTTCTTTTGTCTCTTCTTGCATTTCTTTTAACTGCTTTATTTATTGTTTCATATTCTTGTTGTCGGTTCGCTCTTTCTTCTACAGTTCTTGCTTGCAGAATATCTTTTTTTTGCTGTTTTCTTTCTTCGATAAGATTCCAAGTTTCATCTGATATCCATTCTTTTCTATGTTTCTCTTTTTTACCGAGTTTATCTTCAGCTATTTCTGTCAAAACATTTGCCAGATCTTCCCAGCTATTTACTTCACGTTCTCTTCTTTTGAGTTGAAGTTCCTCCCTAAACATGTGTCTTCCTGTAGCCGTTTTTAATTTGTCTAGATTGTATGATTGTATGTCAAATCAAGAAAGAAATAGCTACCGCAAAAGAAAATTGGATGATAGAAAACTGCCAAGAGATCGAAGAATTAATAAAGAAACACGACAGTCAAACGCTTCACAAAAAAATAAAAGATCTAGCTGGAATGACAAAACAAAGACTCCCTTGTAGATTAACAAACGACGAGAATGAAACGATATGGGAATTAAGCGATCTAAACAACGTATGGGGACATTACATAGAAGAACTATTCTCGGATACACCACTAAACAACATAATATATAAAAACCATGAAACCAGTCCTCCTATATTAAAACAAGAAGTAGAGAGAGCAATCAAAAACGCAAAAAATGGGAAAGCCCCTGGCCCCGATGACATACATACGGAAGTCATAAAGCTACTGGAAGAGAAACATTTAAATATAATCGTCAAATTATTTAATCAAATATATACAAGCGGTGAAATTCCACAAGACTGCTTAAAATTAGTCTTTATTCCCCTTCCAAAAACTAAGGGAGCAAAGAAGTGTGGTGATTTCAGACTTATAAGTTTAATGTCACATATGTTAAAGTTATTCTTGAAAGTTATTCACCAACGCATTTATAAGAAATGTGAACAGGATATCAGTGATGAACAATTTGGCTTCCGAAATGGATTTGGGACACGGGAAGCATTAACCAGTTTTATTATACTGCTGCAAAAATGTCGAGACCAAAAAAAGGATCTCTTTTTATGTTTTATTGACTATCAAAAGGCCTTCGACAAAGTAAAACATGATAAGCTGATGGATTGCCTTCACAAAAAGGGACTAGACGAGAACGATTTTAAAATTATCCAAACGCTGTATTTTAACCAAACTGCAGCAGTTAGAACAGAAGCCGGTGACACAGAAATATTCAATATCAAGCGAGGTGTACGACAGGGGTGTGTATTGTCACCACTACTTTTCAATATATATTCGGAAGAAATCTTTGCACGAGCACTAGAGCAATCAAGAGAAGGTGTTAAAATTAACGGCAGAGTTCTAAATAATGTACGATACGCCGACGACACGGTCCTAATTGCAGAGAGCGCACAGGATCTCCAGACACTCTTAGATCGCGTCAGATCGATCGGAGAACAATACGGCCTCAGCATTAACGTCAAGAAAACAAAAACAATGATTGTCTCCAAAACATCCATCCATCCATCCATGGCTTTAAACGTGAATGGTAACATTATCGAAAATGTCGAGAAATTTCGATATCTAGGGTGCTGGATAACGAAAGATATAGATCCAGACATAGAAATAAAATCGCGAATTGAACAAGCAAGAAATGTCAAAAATGAAACAAATGTTTACGTCCCAAACACTCAATCTCAAAATCCGATACCGAATGCTGAAATGTTACGTTTACAGCACCTTACTATATGGAATGGAGGCCTGGACCTTCAAAATCAACTCACTCAGGCGTTTGGAAAGTTTTGAAATGTGGTTATTTCGAAGGATGCTGAAAGTCCCCTGGACAGCGCATATGAGCAATGAGCAGGTCCTACACAAGATGGGTACCGACAGAGAACTCTTAAAAATAATGAAAACACGGAAAACCTCATATTTGGGACACATATACAGAAATGAGAAATACCAGCTACTGCAGCTTCATATAGAGGGGAAGGTAGAAGGAAAACATGGTCCTGGTAGACGGCAGGCGTCCTGGTTGAAGAACATTCGTGAGTGGACTGGTTTGGATTCTCAATCTTTAATAAGAAAAGCCAGGGACAGAAATGATTTTGCTGAGGTTATCGCCAACCTTCATTGAAGACGGCACCCAAAGAAGATTAATTGTCTCCGTCACATGCAGTTTTATTGTAGTTCTGTTACTGCAGCTATAAAATTCAGATATTTCTTTTTGTAAGTTGTTATTTTTTACGTTGTTCTTGTTTTAAAAATGTCTAACTTTTATTAAAATCAATTTTAGGATCTTTTAGAAGGAAGCGATCTTCCTAAATTTGGGCCCAATCAAGCCATAGTAGCAAAAGTTAAACAAATTCAACAAGATCCAAAATCAGTTAGTTTGACAGCGAAACTGGCAGAAGTATTTGATAACAAAGTTGAGGTACGTATTAGAAAGAAGAGTATTGATGTTGCAAAAAAAAAAATAAAACTGGGGTGTTAAGAAGACGAAAAGAACTATCAAAATAGTTTAAGGACTTTAATAATAGCTAATAATTTCCTTCACTGTGATCTCGATATTCATAATTTATATCCGTAATTTTTTTCGTAGAGTGTAATAGGATTGTTTACTCAACATATGCAAGACATTAAGACCATTAGGACAATGGGAAAAGAAAAGAAATGGGACTTGTATGAATATGAACCAGGAGAAACTGTATTATGTATTGTAACAAAGTTAGGAGAAAGTGGTGGATGCGTTGTGAGACTGCCGAATGGTTTAAATGGTTTAGTTCCTGCTGCACTGTGTACAGGTAATACAAAACTCTAAAAGATAATACATTAAACTATAAAGGATTTTGTAGATGTTATTTTCATTTTGCAATGTTTGTTGGGTTTAGATTTTTCTCTAATGTTAAGGTGTTAAAGTACGTAAGTAAAGTACGTAAGTTTGTAAGGTTATGGAACAAATGGATGTCTAGGATATTCGGAGAATTCGTCTTTAAAATAACTCCATATTTAAGGTCGATAACTTTTCAACATAGTTGAGTATCAAAAATGTAGACACTAACTTCTGAGAAATGATTAAGTTTTAACGGCAACACTGCTGACAGGTTGTGATTATAGATAATGTATCAACTTTTACATTAATAACTCAAACATTACAAATAACTTCAAACATAACTTCTTCTTCTTCTTCGGGTTCCTTCTCCTAGCGGAGGTTGGAAATCATCATCGCTATTTTAACTTTGTTGGCCGCATTTCTGAACAATTCTAATGAGCTGCAGCCGAACCACTCTCTCAAATTTCTCAGCCAGGACATTTTGCGTCGTCCTGGGTTTCTCTTCCCTTGTATCTTCCCTTGCATAATCAACCTCAGTAATACGTACTTCTCACCCCTCATTAAATGTCCCAGATATTGAATCTTTCTAATTTTAACAGTTTTTATGACTTCACATTCTTTCTTCATTCTTTGTAACACCTCTATATTAGTTACTTTTTCAATCCACGATATTTTATGCATTCTCCTGTAGCACCACATCTCAAAGGAGTTTAATTTTTTGATTTCAGACTGCTTTATTGTCCACGCTTCCATGCCATATAGTAAAGTAGAGAAGACGTAACAACGTAGCATTCTTGTGCGAATCTCTAGATTAAGGTTACGGTTGCAAAGTAATTTCTTCAATTTTATGAACGTGTTTCTTGCCATTTCTATTCTAGATCTGATCTCCTTTACTTGATCTCCATCTTCGGTTAGCCACGTTCCTAAATATTTATATGTTTTTACACTTTCTATCGCTGTATTATTGATGATCAGGTTATTTACATTTTGTGGTTTTTTTGAGAATATCATTGATTTCGTTTTCTTGAGATTCATTTGCAGTCCGTAAATTTCACATGCATTGTATACATGTTGTATTATGTACTGTAGATCTTCCATGTCACTTGCAAATATGACAGTATCGTCGGCATATCTAATATTATTAATGCTATTTCCGTTGACATAAATACCTTCCACGATATCCAATAAAGCCTCTTGAAAAATCACTTCACTGTAGACGTTGAATAAGAGTGGTGAAAGGATACACCCTTGTCGAACTCCTCTAAGTATACTTACTTCCTCTGTCAGTTCTCCTTCGACTCTTACTCTTGCTTTCTGGTTTTGATACAGATTCGATATAATTTGTAGATCTCTACTATCAATGTTTTTAGTCTTAAGAATACTTAAAAGCTTCTCATGTTGAACTCTATCAAAAGCTTTCTTGAAATCTATAAAGCAAGCATATATGTCCTGATTCATATCCAGGCATCGTTGTGTCAGAACATGGACTCCAAATAATGCTTCTCTAGTTCCTAGACCCTTTCTGAAACCCATCTGTGAATCACTTATTTCTTGTTCTAATTTCATGTGGATTCTGTTATGTATGATTTTAAGGAAGGTTTTCAATGTGTGGCTCATTAACGCAATTGTTCGATAGTCATTGCAATCTTTAGCATTTGTGATTTTTGGAATCGTCACAAAAGTTGAGAGAAGCCACTCTTTGGGTATGTGTCCCGTCTTGTATATGGAGTTAAAAAGGTCTACCAAGACATCAATATTATCTTCATTAATTATCTTCAATAGTTCAATTGGTATTTCATCGGGTCCTGGAGCTTTTCTGCCTTTTGTGTGTTTTATAGCATACATAACTTCCTCTTTCATTATTTCTGGTCCCGTGGTTTCTCCGTTAACTTCTAATAATTGTTCTACTTTTTGATCATAAAATAGTTGTTCAATGTATTCTTTCCATCTACGTAGTTTGTCTTGCGTTTCAGTTATAGTGGTACCATCTGCATTTTTTAATATCCCGATTGGTTTGTTACGATTTCCTGAAATCATTTCTTTAACCTTCTTATGGGTGTTGAAAGTGTCATACCTTGCCTCACATTCCTCGATTTCTTGACATTTAATGAACATCCATGTTTCCTTAGCTTGTATTATTTTCTGTTTTATTTGTTTATTAATTTCTTGATATTTAATTTTATCTTTGTTTTTATGTGTTCTTCTTTCGTCCATCTTTTCGAGAATTTCTTGTGTCATCCATTCTTGTTTGGCAGCTTTTGTATATGTTAAAGTTTTCCGTCCCACAGTCTCGATTGCGTTCTTTATATTCTTCCACTTTGTGTCAATATCTGTAGTGTTCTTATTTTGTTGTTTTATTTCTTGGATACTCTGATTTATTTTGTTTTGAGTTTCTTGGTATGTATTTGGTTCTCTTAACTTATCAATGCATATTTGTGGTCTAGATCTTTTCATTAATGGTTTTCTCAATCTTACATTCATATTTGCTACTACTGGGTTGTGGTCCGAGTTTACATCTGCTCCAGGGTAAGTCTTCACTACTGTAATAGAGTTCTTGTACCTGTTCCTTATCAAGATGTAATCTATCTGATTTCTTATGATTCTATCTTTGCTGTCTCCAGGAGCTTTCCACGTGTAGAGCCGGCGATTTGGTAATTTAAACATTGTATTCATAACTACTAGTTCTTCTATTTGGCACATCTGAATTAGTCTTTCACCACGCTCATTTCGCTCTCCCAATCCATACATTCCAACACAACTATCCACACTTCCTCTGCCCACTTTGGCATTAAAGTCACCCATTAGTATCAGAACTTCACGTTTTTTTGTTGTTTTCATTATTGTTTCTAATTGCTCGTAGAAGTCTTCTATTTCTTGTTCTTCCTTGTCAGCTGTTGGTGCATATACTTGAATAACATTCATTTTCCCTATATTGGTGTTAATTTGTAGCATTATAATGCGATTCGAAAGCGGGGTGAAACCAAGTACGGATTTATCTATTTCCTTGCTTACCATTATGGCCACACCATATCGGTTTGTTCTATCAGAATATCCACTATAATATATAGCTCCGTTTCTAGTCCGTTGTTTTCCAGACCCTGGCCATTGTACATCGCTTATTCCTAGAATTTCGATATTTAATCTTTCCATTTCTATCGCAGTATTCTCTACTTTACCTGATTGTAGTAAGCTTTGCACGTTCCATGTTGCAATTCTCATATTTCCTCTTGTGGCAATTTTTAAAAGTGTTCTATTATTTACATCACAGGGATTTCGCTGGCTTACGACCTGGGAAGCCCTGTGGCTAACTAGTGATTTACTTCCCCTGCCGGATTTTGGTTTCCGCGGCTCATGATCAGTAAGGTTACTCATTTGGTTATTGCTAGCCATGATGATTGTACTAGGGATGCTCTTGTGAGCCTTTACTACAGTGGTTTCCCGTGGCCTTCTGTAGCCTTATGTCGTTGACCATCTTCCTGGTTCATCCGCCTTTGAGACCGATTTCTCAATCTCAGGACAAAAGAGTGCCCTTCCACCAACCAGCTCGTCCGCCCGAAGCCGTTGACCAGAAGGTGGGGGATTGCTTATACCGGCAATCGCTCGGTGGTTTTTCGCCATATCTGGCTACCCTCACTTAGTTTAGCCTGCAGACCAATGCAGTTGCCCGGGGTGTGGCACGTGGAGCCATAAGTGAGAGTTAGGTGTCTTATGAGGACCAGTTATCAAGAACCATCTCCCGTCTATGACGCTCGATGTGGTCGTTCCGATAAAAGGTACTACCTCTATAACACAACCCTACACCCCTACATAACTTCTACATTAAGTCAAATAGTCATACAATACCAATCATGGTCCAGGTTTCTATACCATATAGCAGTATGGAGTAAATGTAACATTTTACAAAGCGATATCGAAGCGTTAAGTTAAGGCTGTTGTTGCTTAGCAGGGTTCTCATATTGGTAATTGCTGTTCTGGCTTGCTCAATTCTGCTACGTATCTCTATGTCTGGATCTAGATCTTTAGTTATCCAACTACCGAGATATTGGATGTTTTTATTGTTTACTCTTATATTTAATTGCATATTTCGTGTTGTACTAACCACCATTACCTTCGTCTTGTTTATATTAATCTTCAAGCCCAGTCGTTCTCCTTCAGTGTTTATTCTATCTATTAGTCGTTGTAACGCTTCTTGGCTATCTGCTATTATGACTGTGTCATCAGCATAGAGAAGATTACTAATAATCTGTCCGTTGATTTTGATTCCATCTTCAGTGTCACTTAAGGCTCTATCGAAAATCGTTTCAGAGTAAAGATTAAAAAGGAGGGGTGATAGAACACAACCCTGACGTACACTTTTTCCAATTGAGAAATATGATGTATATTCCAGTCCTACTCTTACAGATGCCACTTGATTCATATAAAGGTTTTTTATGATATTAAGGTCATTCTCATCTATCGAACGTTCTTGGAGCAATCTTACTCTAACTCTGAATGATTGACACAATCGAACGCTTTCTGGTAGTGTTGTAACGAATATTCGCATTCGCATTTGCATTCGCGAATATTCGCATATTTTTGCATATTCGCATTTGCATTCGCATTCGCAAAATTTGTGCGAATGTTTTGCGAATATTACACAGCTTGCATTTAGCTCGTTCAGTATCGAAAAGGGGTGAAAAATAAGTCCATATTTCACTATAATTTGATTTACTCATAGTAATAAATCGCTAATCACACTTTATTTAAAAATTCACTTGTATTTGTGCACGAGCAGAGCAGGGCAAGTGGAGTGACTTGTGTCCCGTGAAATTTTTATTGGAACTATAACCAGAGAACTTAGTTCTCTGCTATAACTTTCTTTCTATAACAAGTCAAATTTGATTATAACAAGAGAAAATAAGATCGAAAAACGTGCTTTCTACGTTTTTGGCCCGGACGTGAATATAAATAAATACCTTTTTAAACGACCCCTCAATAAACTTAACCGCCTACAATAAACTTCTTTACAATAAATACAACTGTTTCACATCTTTACTTTAGCAAATATGATAGAATGATACTGGACAATTTAAAGCAGTTAAAAATGACAGACTTTTTCCAATTGCCTACACACCTCGCGCAAATGAGACTGCCGGCAGTGCCGAAGACAATTAAAATTGCCAAATTAAAAAAAAACTGAATATTCGCATTCGCATTCGCGAATGTCGGTGGCATATATTCGCATTCGCATTCGCATTCGCGAATGTTTAAAAAATGACATTTGTTACATCACTACTTTCTGGTAATCTATAAAGCATAGGAAGACATCTTTTTGCATTTCTGAAGTAGGACAGTTAAGCTATAAAGTGCTTCTCTTGTGCCAAATCCTTGTCTGAAACCGAACTGTGTGGGGCTAATGTCTATTTCACATCTGTTGTATAATTTTGTGTGAATGATCTTTAAGAAGAGTTTTAGGATCTGGCTCAATAAGCTGAACATTCGGAATTGGTCGCAACAATTAGCGTTTGGCTTTTTTGGGATTGGTATAAAGGTGGATTGAAGCCAGTCCTGTGGTATTTGGCTGGACCCATAAATGTCATTAAAAAATCTACCAAGGCGCCTATATTGTCTTCACTCAATATTGTTAGAACCTCTATGCATATTACGTCTGGGCCTGGTGCTTTTCCCCATTTGCTCGGTTTAATTGCCCTTACAACTTCTGACTTCGATATTTTCGGGGAGGGTTAACTTTTATATTCACTTTCAGAGTTTCTTCTAGTGTTGTCTGAGTATAGTTACTTTGTGTAGTTTCTCAAATGTTGAAGTAGATCCTTGGGATCAGTAATTAATTTATTGTCCTTCACAATACTGTTAAAACTGCAAGGTTTTGTATGACCTGTCACTTAACGAGTTTATGTATGTTAAAGTTGTCATGTTTTTCTTCCAATTCCCCCATTTCTGCACACTTGTCTAGCAGCCACTGTTCTTTAGCTTTGTGACACTCTTTTCGTATTTGTCGGTCAATCTGCTGATGTTTGGTTCGGTCTTTGTTTTCAAATGATCTGCGGTCGTCTATCATTGATCATATTTCATCAGTCATCCAATTCTTTTTTTTTTTGTACTTTTAAGAAGCGATCAGAGACTTGGTGGTGGTTACGATAGCTTTTTTAATACGATTCCATTTGTTTTCTAACATTTTGATGTTTAGTGATAGTGAAAAGTTCCTGTTAGTAAATATGTGTTGATCTAGCCTTCTCAGTTGTGGATGTGATCACTCTTATCATGTCTCAGTGAATATAAATCATGGGATTTGGGAAGCAAATATGTAGACAGAAATAGAATAGAACTGGCTAGATATAGAATAGAAATAACATCTAGAACAATTAATATATCAACATTTTAGAAGCCAAGAAGTTAAAAAAAAAGAGGAGGATCACCAGTTATACAAAGTTTTCCAAAATTAAATAATTATGACTTTTGGGAAATACAGTAGATCAACTACACAGATATTTCTTGTTTCCGTGCCATATCTTTCACACACACATACACACAACTACACAAATGGGCAATATATATCACAGACGTAAAAAAAAAATTCTTATTTTTTATGATTCGCCCTATGTATTTAATAAAATTGGTACCACCGTTTATTTTAAGCCTAGAAACAATCACATGATACAAATAAAATATATTTTTTTAGTTAAATATTAACAACTAATGTTTTTTTTTTAATTTTAGATGTAAAAGTAGGGGATAAACTATCAGGAGTATTTTTGACTCAAAATTTTGACTCAGAATACGTTGTTGTGAGTCTAAAACCAGAGATTTCCGAAAGGATTAACAAACAGCAGGGTATGTACAATTGTTCACTGATAAAAGTATTTATATATCATTGTACTAAGATGAAAAAAAGACACGACATAAATATATTACCGCTAGACAGATGGGAACATATTTTTGCTTATTTTTAGACGCTAAAGTTACCTTGTTTTTTATTATTATTCAGCAAGAACATGTTATAATGACTTTTCAAAAAACGACCTTAGGCTGTTTTATCGGTGCACCAAAACCTAGGGACAGTGTTTTCTCGGTTATTTACCGACAAAATGTCCCGAAATTTGGACACGTTATTCGAAATTATGTTGCCTTTAAAACGATGATTTGACTTTTTTTTTATTTTTTTGAAACTTCTGTTGAAAAGTTGGATTACGCTTTTTACGCCCATCACTTGAAAGAGTTTTGTTTTCTGTAATCGTTGATTTTTTTTCACCTTTCTGTGTCCAGTAATAATCGAGAAAAGCGTGTTCCAACTTTGAAGAAAATTGCTAAAAAATACTAAAACCTAATAGTGAAACGTGTTACTCATCATTGCCGCTTAATTGCACCGTTATCGCTTTCGTGACGACAAATCTCATGAACGTACGGTCAGTTAGTTCGTGTTAAAACTAATTTAAATGGAGAATAATGCATTTGTTGGCATTAAACTACCAGTTGGCCGGCGCCGCTCAGTAAAGATAGTCAGGCGTAAGCAGTGTAGAAAAGTAAGTGATACGCCCATTTCAAATCGCAGTGTGCTTGAACTGCTAAAACAGCCTTAAGTCGTTGCATTACCTTATTCAACTAGTCCAATATACTTTCTTAATTAATTGATTGATTAAAATTTAGATAGATAGAGAGAGAGAGAGAGAGAGAGAGAGAGAGAGAGAGAGAGAGAGAGAGAGAGAGAGAGAGATGCGTAATTTTTTTTATTACATTCTTCTTGTTCTTTGGTATGCTCTTGTTTTTGTGTTCCTTTCTTTTATTAGATCCTATAGTTCTTTGGTCACAACTAAACTCTGTTATTGGTTTTTTCCTTGGGTATGTTATTCTCCATCGCTAGTTGCCTTCTTCATATAATTTCAACTACTTTTCAGTATATCTCCTCTTTGAATTCGCAATTTGTTGTTATATTCATCTCGTTTAGTTCTCTTCTGTAAGTTGTCCAGCTTGCGTCTTTATATTTTCACTTTCGTGCCGGTTCGGTTCTTGGAAAGTCAATTTTTAATGTCATTTTTCTAGTGACTTGTTTGTGGTGTGAGTTTGTGGCCCGTTTGTGATTTCAAAGGTGTTATTATATAAGTGATAGTGATCACTTCTTTCATTACCACTTTTTTGATACTGAAGAGATCTACCGTTGAATAATTAATTCTTTGATCAGAGCTGATCCTTGTTGGATTGTTTGGTGCAAGGATCATATTGTCCCTATATATTCGCAGTATCGTATGAGTATTTCGCCGCCGGCGTCCTTATCCGTGTATCCTCAGACTATATGATTCGTTAAAATCTTCTGTAATGCCCAGAGTTTCTGTAGAGTATATCATTTCTTCGATTTCTTTAAGTTCAAGTCTGTTTGCTTTTTTGCACATTTCCGAATTTTACATATACCTTTGTAAGTGTCTAAACTGGAAACCATACGCTAAAACGAAGACGAAAAATTGAAATAAACTTTATACTAAATTCTTTGCTTTTATCACCATTTCCAACAGCCATTACTAAATAAATATTGTTTTAGATGGACTAATAACGTGTACCAATCTCTTGTGGTGTAGATCCGAAATACTTTTAATATGCAAAACTTTTGCCATAGCTTTGCTTAAACAAACTGGCGGAAACGGACAATTAGTGTACCTTCCAACGTTTCTCCATGAAAATGACTTTAAAGGCAGCTGCACGGAATATTACCAGGAGGGATCATTAAGGGTTACCTTATGCGGGTAAGTAGTATGTTTCTCCCTATGTGTTGTTCTAAAAAGGACAATGAGTGATATTTCGTCTATGAGTTCACTATAGTTAGAACCATTGTCAGATTTAGTTTAAGTAAAATATATAGTTTTCTGAATATAATTAATTGATGTAGTCCTGAAATATTTTAAAGTATCATGTAGCCTAGAAAAAACGTTTTCGTTGATTTTTATTTCGGAGGTTCTTGAAATAAAGTCGACCGCCAAAAGAAACAACACTGAATTAAGGTTGATCTTCACCCACAATTAATTTGTTTCTGATCCTAGAGATGGCTCTACTGCGGCATGCTACTCTGGTAAATTTTTTAACTTAATTGTAGATTTCTACATGATGACTTTGTAATATTTTCAAACCCTAATATAAATTTTAGCGTATAAATTTTTAAAATATTGTTTCTAAATACTAAAATAATTAACTTAAAACGTCTAAATAGGTTTTTAAAAACTAAATACCGAATACAGAATAGCTACTATTCTGTTTCAGCATGCCAGATAAAATTTATTCAAACCGATAACATTCTTATTAAATCTTGTTGTAATTTGCCAGTGTTATACAAAATAATTGATATGGCAACCCTGCTAGTATGACGATTCGCTTGAAGCGTTTCGAGGCCGAAAGTAATGCAATCTATCGATGATAAATACTATCAACGTTTGAGATGGAGCCACCTCTCTAATATACAATTTGATGCCGGCAATTCAAGATATAATTATTGTTTAACGAGATTTTTCATATGTTTAGGAAAAAATATTCAACGTTTTATTGCAAATATTTTTCACTTTTACAGTTTTATATATGTTGTTATTAAATTTTTTTCCGGTTTCTTACCGGTAGCTTTATTATAAGCCGAAACATAATATTTTTTTCCATTGTGACATAACTGTAAATTCAAAAATTTTCAAAAAATTCATCAGTATTTCTTAGGGTTATATCTTTATGTTGTAAGAAAATAAACAAAATTGTATGTCTGGTTTTCCCGCTTTATACTTGGAAAAAAGTAGTTTTTTTGAGTTTTTTTGAAAACGAAAACATGAAGTTTGTTCAAAATTTGTCAAAATACTTCTAGTTGTCACATATACCTTCTCAATTTTTTTCAAATTTTTTGAATTTGTAGTTTGTCTTTTAGGGGGTGCAGATCAACCTTAAAACAAACTTAAGTATTTTTAAAAGTATATTGATAAAAAAATATTCAAATAAAAGGTTTTATAAATATCGACAATATCTTGATCAGCGCCAATAACTTGGAAAGGTTGTCCATACTCTATTCTCAACTATGCTTACTTCTAAAAACTCACGGTTTACAACTCTATAAAATATACTTAATTTAAAATATAAGCACTTCAGGTGCCTTTTCAAATGAATGTAGTCTAGTCTCCACTTCAAAAGTTAATCTTATCTTAGTTAATAACTCCTCTAAGGTCCTAGGTATTAATCGATTGCCTTATCGAGACAATTTCTCTTTTAAGCCGCCTGTTTGTGAAAATGCGGCCCCCTTAACAAAAAGAAAATGTGTATATGTTTCTCGCATGTATGACTCCTTAGGAAAACTCTTATCTTTTATAGTACACTCCATGGACGTATAAACACAGATGGACTCAGTTATTTACATAAAATTGTGAAGTCAAAATTATTTGAATAGGTCACATTCTGAGCACCTTCAACTGTTGTCACGTTTTGTTTTAAAATTTCTTATTCGCGAGTCGCTGAAAATATTACTCCGTATTTTATACTCTACAGGTGCTATCAAACCAAAATAATAATTTATTGGTTATATTAATATATTTAATTGTAGTCAAAATATCATGTGTGCACGTAGTGTGCATTATCATTTAATAATAGCGTATAATAGATATCAGTCAATTATTTTATATGTAGAAGCACTGAAAACTATTTATAAATGGCAACGGTTGTTTACATTTCTCTGTCTTATGGATCTACGTCAAACTTCAAATGCTGTTCCATATTTGTTTACTTTTAACAGTAAATGAGGAAAAAGTTTTTTTCGATATTTTGGCTGTATTTTGAGTGATATTTGTGAAAAGTGAAATAAAATAAACGAACTATTTACATCCCGATCTCTCATTTCATTTGTAAGTACATACAATTTACATTATTTAAGATGAGGAAATGAGGAAGCGTGTTTGTTTACATTTTAATAGGCGTACCATTGGGTTTATTCATGTTCATTAATGTATTGAATAAGATATGAGTTCGTGAAATTAGTAGACATTTACAAATTGTAAGTAGACATCATCTGATTAAAAAAGATCTGTTTAGTACCTTTCTAATTTAATATTTCTCATGGATACAAATAAATTAGTGAAATGAATAAAACTCATTTATTTTTCTATGTAGGTTTCCAAATAATATTGACTATCGAACTATTTGGGTAGCAAATTAAGGAGAAAACATAAAGATTTTTTATTGTAGCATGATTTTGATACTATTAAAAAATTAACTTGAATTCAACTATATTTAATTGTATTAATTTTAAAGCAAATAAAATTGTATTTTAATTTTTCTATAAAGACGTGATTTGTTGATAGTTAAACTCTCGTTTTTTTTTAATTCTTTGAACGTGTTTTTATACAATATTACTACTTCCAATTTTTAAAATCTGAATAATTACCCGCGAGTAAAAATTCAAGCACGCTTATGCTCATTGCGGAAGCATCACATTCTATCGAAGCTTCAAAACATTGTGTATTAAAGGTATCTTATTGCTGTGTCCATCTATGTTTATACGTCCATGGTACACTCTAAACGTTCCTTACAACATCTCTGATCATAGCCCTTAGACTGGGACAGTGAAATACTGGATGACCTATTGATCTCGGATTGGAGATCATTATTGGATACAACCCAATCAATATATAAAATTAGTTTTCGATGCCTGACACTTCCACTGCTTGTATCGGATATGCTACTACGACAAAGTAGGAGAAAGTGGAACATCGCTACTGATCCTTTAAAGATAGGTGATGTACTAATCAAAGATAAAGAGACTCCCCCTCTCCTCTGGCCTCTGGCAAAAGTCATCGAATGGCTCCCAGGCAAAGATTCTCTTGCTAGGACAGGTGTATCCACACGTAATGGTGAATACCTTAGGTCAATAAGGATAGTAATTAGGTTACCCTTTAATCAATAGTGCCGCTTTCAGCCAAATACATAGCTTCTTTAGACTTTAGTTTCTCTAGATTTTAAATAATTCTTAGTTAAAGCTCAAGGTAGCTTTAAAAATAATAAAAATTTATATTTTTGGGCTTTATAAATGATCGTTTGATACTTTTAAATTTCAGGCAATTTGAAAACTACTTAATAGGATTGAGTAGGCGACAATTTCTCTATCTAAATAAACACAGCACACCTGAAAAGAAGTATAGTATAAAAAATAATCATATTAAAGAACCAAGCAAAGAACAAAATACCATAGACGGTGATACTGTACATGATGTGACTGAAAGTGAAGTAGAATTCGTAGAAGAGGAAGTATCTGGGGAAGAGGAGATCATGCATAGTGAGAGTGAGAGTGATGGTAACTTAGAAGAATCTGATGATGATCAGGAAGAAGAAGAATCTGATGATGATCAGGAGGAAGTGGAATCTGATGATGATCAGGAGGAAGAAGAACGTGATGACGACGAAATTAAACAAGAAATAGATTCAATAGAAGATGAGCTAGAACTGGAAGATGACTCGGAAGATGAAGAATCTTCGAGCGATGAAGAAACCGAATCAAAAGGTGAATCTATTAATACAGCAGATCATTCGGATGAACCAGAAGATGGATCTGACGAAGATGTAGAAATGAACGAAGAAGATACTAGTGAAACAACAAATAACGCACGGCCATCAAATGTAAAAGTACAAAATAAAATGACGATAAAGAAATTCTCTTCGATTGATTCTATCACAGGTCCTTTACCTGTTGTCTCTGGTATGAATTCATTCTTTAACGTAGATGTTAGTGAGGAACAGGATGTGTCTTCCGATGATGAAGTTGAGGTAAATATATGTTTATTTAGTAACAAATTAATTAGAATTACATGCTGATTTTGCTTTTGTGACCTGTGGTCAGATTGAATATCAGCGCCTGGGTAGGTTTTAACACTGTTGAAACTATTTCGATATGTTTTGTCAACAATTATATAGTCTATTTGGTTTTTTATAACAATGTCTTCTTCGTTGTCTCTAGCTGATTTCCACGTATACAGTCGTCTAGGTGGTTGTTTGTAAAATGTGTTTAGCACGATTAAATCATGTTCAGCTGCAAAGATACTCATTGTTTCTCCTCCCTCATTTTTCTCTATTAATCCATAAGGACCATCTTTTCCGTTACTTATTTTAGCATTGAAATCTCCCATGACTATATGGAGTTCATGTCTCGGTATATCTCTTATAAGGTTGCTTATTTGTTTGTAAAATCTGATATTTCCTCATCACTGTGTGGTGCATAGACTTGTATAATGTTAGTGTTCATTGATGACGTATTTATTTGTAACAAGAGGATTCTATCGTTTACTGGTATGAAGTTGTTGACATGTTTGGCTATACTTTTATGTTTGATAATTCCGACTTCATTTTCATATTAACCATTTTCTGATCCTGTATTCTTCTGTCACAATAACTTAAGTCAGGCCACCTCATTTAGCTTGTGCCCATTATTGCTATTTTCATTTCTTTGAGTGCGCATTGGATTGTTCCTGATTGAGCCATAGTCCTAAATGGATAATCTCTTCAGATATTCGTGTGGATTTTTCTTATAGGTGTGTTATTGGGTATTCCACAGGGATTTTGCATATTAACGACATGGGAGGCCCTGATGACAAACTGAAAACTTGTAGATGTACGTTCTATTCAACACTTTAAAAAGCAAGTGTTCCTTCCTGGGTTTTTCAACAGGTTCAAACTTCAGAACTCAAGCGACTCTAAAAACCTCCTGTTCAAAAACAAAAAAACTTCATCTCCTGTTCATTGTAATGCAAACATACATTGAATACCTCCTCGGAGAAGCAAAATCACCTTGAAGCAACCCCCTTAGCTTTCCGAACCTTCATTGCCTAATCCCCCATCCAAACCCCGAGCATGGTGCGATTGGGTTTTTGTGGTTTCCAAAACTCATTGCGCAATGATACCTATCATCTTAGTGGAACTTTTCGGCTTTTTTTGCATTCACAAGTTTTAAGGAGTAATAAAAAAAATTCCTAACCAAGGACAATAACGTAAAGTTCAAGACCTAAATACTTTACCAAATCCTCAATAGAACAACACACCACCACTTATAATATTTCATGTAATAAGTTCATATTTGGCTAATTCAATCCTGGCAGTTGTCAGATTTGTCTCAAATTGCGCGCACTAATTCTCGATATATGTACCTAATATACAAGATTACGTCACGACTGACAAAGATTTTGTTCACTGTTCAGTCTAATGTTCACGGTAATTTAACAATTATGAGACCATTTTTGAAACTTTCTTTGATAACTGCAACTAGTTGTTCGATATATGGTTTTAGGAAACAACCGTAAAAAAGAAGAAACTATCGCCAGCGGAAAGAGCTCAACTGGCTAAGGAGGAAGAAGAACGGTTAAGAAAAATCGAAAAAGAGTTGGCAGATCCCACCAAAGCTCCCGAAAGTGCAGAACATTTCGATAGGCTTCTCCTTGCCAGCCCAAATTCATCCAAATTATGGGTGCAATATATGTCATTCCATGTAGCTGTAAGTATATATCATGAACATTACAGAACTGTTATTATTATTATTTTTTCAATTCTATTGTTAGGAATGCACAAGATGTAACTGATAATATTTGAGATGACACAAGCAATCATTATTATTGTCATTTCATTCATAGTCTTTATGTACAACTAATCAGTATGAAAGTTTAAAGCGTAAATATTTTTTATGTTCATTTTTGGTTTATAGTAAAAACAAACAGCATTTTTTTACATTACATTGGCTGACTGTACAACTTAGATTAATTATTAGCAAGTATTCGAAAATGTTTCAACATATCTTTTATTTGGCCTTGGTATACTCCGGTCTCTTACATCAAGCCAACATGGAACTTTGTCATTTTATCTGATGAAGCTGCCTTATTGTACTGAAAGTTCGCCTGTACGATCCTGATTGGGGATCATTGAGATCTATTTTGGACAGCGACAGAGTCACAGCGACACCTGGTGTCGCAAATCAGCAAAATTTACTGCGCTTTCATGTTAGATCGAGGTTACCGGATAACTGTCAAGGACGTAGCCCCAAAAAAGAATAAGAAGAAAAAGTAAGATTGAGGTTATGTCGGTATGTTATTAAAAGGTAACCGTTGTATGTAGTGTAAATACAAATAAATATATTATTAAATTACAGCATTACTGTTAATATGGGTGCAATAATAAAAACTGGATTTGAGAAAGTAACTCACCAAATAACTTTTCAACCAAGCACTGAGTCAAAGGGAAAAGCGTCAGTAGTGGCAAATGTTAATAATGAAAGAATTATGTGAAGAATTAAGAAAAATAAATTACCATAAATAATGCTAATGCATAAATTAGCAGGTTAAGCCCATGTTATCATCATATTGGTTTGAACAATTAATTCTTTCCCTGTAAACTTTTGGACAGCGAATATATCTTAATGCGTCTTCAGAAGAACTTGAACTTGATGCATTTTTGTAAACTTCAAAAAAATAAAATTTAAACATTAAACTTGATTTTTGGGTTAAAGTGACCTCTAAGTGAGTGTTATAAAACTAAAATTTACTCTTAGAAGTGAACTTTTATTTATTTCAAACTGACTTTAAAATCGGGCGCAAGAATAATGCATAATTTAGGTTATGTTACTTATTCTTTTTTATGATATAAATCCACTTTTCTCTTTGTAGTAATTTGTGCTTCGAAGTTGGAAACGAATAAAACTTAAATTGACAATTTTTTGTTGTATTTTTACAATTTATAACACAGCATTTCCTAAATCCCATTTTCTTCAGTGACAGAAGATGTAAATAAACAAACGAATATGAAATATGACAATTGACAATATGAATTTATAAAGTCTATGAAATGTGCAGTAAAAAATGCAAGATTTCTCCGCTACTCGCGCACGATCGTTTCTCGTATCACATCCAAGTACTTACATGTCGCCAATAGGACGTTTATTAGCAATTGGAACGCGCCATGGTAAGGAGGAGAACTTCACCACCCAGTTTATCCTGTGCGGAATACTGGATAGATCAGACTCACAGTATCAGGCCAGAATGGATAAACAAATGACGTAGAAAAGAAAAGGAAGGTTCTTGTCTATTATAATCAGAAAAAGGGGTATGGCAGATCCAATGAAAGGGGATGGAGCAAATAAGATCATAACAGAAATTAAGATTGCCTCATGTCGAAAAGGTAATAGAATGGTTCTTCGGTATTCATGAGCAGATAACCGTGATACCTTTTTAAAGTATTCAAACTGTAGATTGACTTCTCCTGAGACGACGTGGGATATCTTTTTTTGAATATCCTTCCTCGTACAAAATTGCAATCTGTGCTGCTTGGGCTTCATTGCAGTGCCGAATTGGTGGCATACTTGTTTTAAACTTAGTTGGAAAATATAGTTGGCTGGATAAGATATAAGAAGATAATAGGATTTTCTGTAGTGCGCATGTAAAGACTACGTTTAAAAGCTCTTATAAATCGTATTTTGTCGTGCTGTTTTAAAATGGTCATTGGTTTCAATTATCAATAGTGTCAAAAACTATAGACTACTCTTAACAATTTGGTAGTCTTCAATGTTACTGTAGATCTCTCAAACAGATCGGTTTATTTTATCTGCTTCCTATACTCTGACAGAATTTAATTGTTTTTTTATTGACACCTGCCAAAAGTATGACATCGGCAATGACATGTTATGTATAATTTAAACATAACATGTCATTGCCATAATTTATTTGACATAATTTAAAAGCCTTTGTGTGACTCAATATAATTTTAATAATTAAAAAAGATTTTCATTCACTGGGAAAATAATTTACTTAATTCAGTAGTCGCCATTTTAAAATGGCATGTAATATCCCATATTGAACGATACACGTGTGTTCAAATGATATGTCATTTGCCATATATTGGTATTTAAGAAAAATGTCGATGATTTCGTATTTTTACAGATGTTCAATGAAAAAGGGAATTATTTGTGTATTATGTAGAAAATTGGAAAAATAAATTGATCTGTTGGAGTCTTTTTCATAGAAGTTGAATATTACCGCACTATTTGGGATATTTCATATTTTTTACACTGTCGTATTGAATATGCAACGGTCGCCATTTTGAATCTTGGTGATAAAAATCCAGGAACACGGTGATATACGAGCTTTGAACTGAGATATTAGGTACTTACCGTATGATCCATTTTAAACTTATTAATTAAAAATTAAAAATCTATTTTTACAGAAGCTTTCCTCAGAAGCGAAGCTTCATATGATTACGCCTCTTTTATGATTTTAGGCTACTGAATTTGAGAAGGCAAGGGCAGTTGCAAAGCGAGCATTAGAAAACATTAACTATACTTATGTTGAGGAACGTTTGAACATCTGGATAACATTATTGAATTTTGAAAATACATATGGAACTAAAGTAAGTTTGTTTTTATTTATTATTTATAAATTCCATCAACTATTCTTATTTGTTTGTATATTTTTTACTATAACATGCGCTGAACGTCACCAACGACAAAACTAAATCATATAGTTTTATATTCGATACTGTCCAATCCTGAATATGGATAGTTGTAGATACTTGATGCTTTGTAATAAATATTAAAAGGTAGTGGAGACCTCTACTGTTATAAATGCGTAAATTTGAATATCTTATTGATGAATACAATTTCTTATAGGAATCATTTGACAAAGTATTTGAAGAAGCCGTTAAATGTAACGATGATTTAAAAATTTACTTAGAAACCATCCGAATATTAGCAGAGTCAGGTAAAATAGCTGATATGGAAGAAAAAATTAAGAAAGTTAGGAATAAACACAAGCAGAACTCTCATATGTGGACCGAGGTTGCCAAAACGTACTATCAATTAAATAAATTCAAAGACGCTAGGAATTTAAAGGATGCTGCCTTAAAATCTATAACGATCAAGAAAATACGTAAGTAGTAAATTTTTGATTTTCCTGCAATTGTTACCTTCATCATATGCATCGTTTGTTATAATGAGTTAAAGTTATGAATTTATTATTATTTTTCTATATCTTAGTTATATCTTTTCCAGAATTGGATATAATCGTTCAGTTTGCTCTAATGGAATTTAATTATGGAGAGCCAGATTATGGTTCAGCTATATTTGAAACAATGTTAAGTTCGGATCCAAAGAAAGTAACGATTTGGACGATGTACGTTGACCAATTAGTTAAAAAAGGAAAGATCGATGAAGCTAGGTAATTATTGTACATTTTCTTATAAAATCATTGAATGTTATCAAATTTTGATGTTAAAATTTTCGCAGAGTTGCCATATTAGTGCTACAAAATATAAGATTATTATTATAAATTGATTAATTCAGGTGTTAATGTTATTTTTTAAAAACTTTCGTAAGAAAATTGGTACCAGTTTCCATTGGAACTATATCGTTTTATTGATAACTCTTTTAATCTTGTACAATAGTTTCTTAGGAGGTGGTTACGACATTCAATTTTTTCAACAACATTATTACCATGTCTATTTTCTAAAAATTTTTGATAAACATTACTATCTCCATCGGCTATTAAAATTTTGTATGTAATTCCATGCATGTATTTACTACATTTAAATCCATCTAGAATTATTTGACTTTCCATTGCAGTCGAAGCTTTTGTTCAATTTTTATAACATACGGGTTCTTTATCTTTTCCGTATAATTTACAGTAGGAACAGTATTTGTTCCTAACTCCAAGATACAGAATCTTTTTTGTTTCTGTAACCAATAGTGGCTTCAGCTCCAAAATTTGCGTTATAATTTGTCTTATATGATCTCTTTGACCAAGAGCAGTCCGCAACAACAGTTATAAAAGGATAGCCATCTTTATTAATATCTCCATGCTCTTTTGCTAATTTGATTTCTTCTTGTCCAGCCTCAAGCATTGATGTCCAAGAACTTTCATAACCAATAATGGTTGCAGCTCCAGAATTGGCGTTATAATTTGTGTTATATGATCTCTTTGACCAAGAGCAGTCCGCAACAACAGTTATAAAAGGATAGCCATCTTTATTAATATCTCCATGCTCTTTTGCTAATTTGATTTCTTCTTGTTCAGCCTCAAGCATTGATGTCTAAGAACTTTCATGTATAAGTCAATTAGATCATTTTGAATTGACAAATAATATTTTTTTGATAGTAGTGGGATATTTAAACTGGACGGTAATTCAGTTAGTTGTGTGTATCCTCCACCAATACTAACTATTCCAGTTATTGCTGCAGAATTGACGTGGAGGGATGGTTGTTTATATTTTTCAGTTTCTACTTCATACTTCATGTTTCATGGGACACATTGGGCAAAAGAGAGTGAATTTAGAATAAAATTCTTTTCGCTTTTCACTAGTCACCGTAATATCTTCCGAAAAGCAATTGAACAATCTGTGGTGAGGGAATTGCAGTATTTGTCTAATAAAATATTGTACATCTACAATTCTTCTTCCTTGTAATATGAAATCTGAAGTAGTTTGTCTAAAAGACATATAAATTATTTATTTATGTTTAAAAGTTTACTGCACTTTAAATACATTTTATATTTGGTAAAGAAAACTTAAGTAGTAGCTGAATATTCCTTTATTATGTTCTTCTCTTGTCCATCTGTACCACAATATCTAATTACGCTTATAACTGAACTATATGAACACACTACTGGATCAGTTAAAGTACTTGACACACTTTCGAACGAGTTTCATCCAGAACGGGGTGTCAGACAAGGATGTATACTATCTCCACAATTATTCAACATATATGGAGAGTATATTATGCGAAGAGCACTTGAAGGATGGGAAAAGGGCATCTCAATAAATGGTCATAAACTAAACAACCTACGTTTCGCAGATGACACAGCCCTTCTTGCAAATAGTCAAGCAGAGCTGATGGAACTTATACGACTGATCGAAAACGAAAGTCAAATATTTGGTCTGTAATTAAACATATCAAAGACAAAGATCATGATAGTGGATAGACTACACAACAATCATCCACACATAACCACAATTGACCGGTTCGAGGTTGTGAGCTCATACTTATATCTGGGATCATTAATCACAAACACAGGGTCATTACAAGAAGAGATTAAACGTAGATGTGATATAGCAATTGTTGCCACAGCAAAAATGACCAAAATATGGAAGGAATGTCAAATTTCAAGAGCGATAAAGATGAGGTTGATCAACTGCTTAATATTCCGAATACTGACCTACGGATGTGAATCTTGGACTCTGAGACAATCGGAGAGAAGAAAGATAGACGCCACTGAAATGTTCTGTTGGAGACGAATGTTTCGAATTCCTTGGACCGACCGTAGAACAAATAATTCAATTTTAAGAGAGCTAAAAGTTAGCCAACGACTCTCAGAACAGCAGTAAATAAAATTAGAATCGCCCTAATGATAACCAATCTCCGATAGGAGAGGCACTCAAAGAAGAAGATGTTCTCCTTGGCAGGTTCTTCGGAATTACGGGATTGACTGTTATAGAAAAATCGTAATAATTTTATGTTAAAAAAGTTAAAAGTATGGCTTACTTAATAACTATCTCTGCTACTTTTTCAGCCGCCTCTCCAGAATACCGTGCTCGTCTATAATACTGCAAATTAAATAACTAAAAAAAATTAATGTATTACTTACTTAGTACCTACAGTTTCCTTATTGTGTATTTAACAGGTAAACCTTCTACTACAATGCTAGCAGTGATAACCACAAACATACAATCCACAAAAACCAAACAGATACTTTATTCCTTTAAGCGAAAATAAAATTTAATGAAAAAATTCTTGGTTTACTGATCGATTTTATAAATGATATTTTCACTATATATTTACAAATCAGTTAGAAAAATACAAAAGTAATTAATTTAATTTATGTAAAAAGTACTTACTTCAATTGAGCTAACCGTCTATTTCTTCGTTTTACACAATAAAGAAATGAATAAAGTCTTTAGGAATTAATTGAGCAATACCTATACAACACAGCTTTTCAGAGATATACCTGTGCTAAGCCGATTCTGGATAAATAAGATACCAACAGTTTTAAAGCTTTTATATGAGTGAGAATTTTACTACACATAATTTGCTGTGTAAAGAAAGATAAACTAGGGATAGGACAGTCGGTGTCGATTCGCTCCGTCTAAAATTTGCGCCTACGCTCTTAACTACGTTAATTATCATTGGTTCAACTTGGGTATCAGTGATATTGTCAATATCCCACATCTATTGTTCGACTTTCTGCTGAATATGCTGTATATATTTTTAATATTTTGTAGATACAATACTCGCGATTCCTTCATTAAAAAGATCTTTCATATCTGAAAATTTAAAACTAGTATTCTTCTCTGCAGTATAATTTTTTAAGTCTGCTCAAATTAACTCATAGTGGTATGCTGAAAGCCTTAATACTATTTGATTTTTTCTTTAGCTACTTTATCTACAATATACTTAGTGTATTTTGTTTATGTTTATTCGCAATAGTCAAACTCGACTTTTAGAAGAGTATTGTCAATATACATATTTTTTTATCGTAGCCAATCTTGAATATCCGCTTTCTTCGACGCGATCGGGTTGTCGGTATTTTTCCCACTTTCCTTGAGTGGTACGGTGCATTATCTAAAATAATTGCTGAATTTTTGCCTAGTTTCTCTAATACCGAAAATAATGACCCGCCAATTATCTCTTCATGATAGTCACCAGATTTTTTTTATTCGAAATCCCATATGGCATCAGGAACGAATCCGTCGTGAATACCAATGTGACAAGCGATCTACCTCTTTCCTTTACCCAAAAATAAAACGATTTTTAATTTACTCTTGAACTGGAGTTCATTTACTAGTATAGTAAATGCAAAACGATAGACTTATCGACCCAAACTTTAGATTTCGTATGTCCAGCATTAACCCACGTCTCATCTAGGTAATAATCTTACGACCATAATTTCTTTATGATTTAATTAAAAAAAAACTATTTCCTCCTCCACAAAAAAATGTTCTGCCTTTGTCATTTTTGATACTTAAAATTAAGTGTCTTAAGAAGTTTATAAAATGTTCTTTTAAAATTAGGCAGATCATTATCCTCATTAACTTCTCTTGAAACTTTGTCTACAGTATTGTTTCTAAACACAATACAGTCTACAATATTGTTTCTAAAATAAAATTCATGCACCTTTTTTCTTTTGGCATTACGATTAGCTCTAACTAAAAATCGATTATTTTTGCGAGTCCGACTAACTTTTGGGTCTAAACATGTGTGAGTATTTTTATATTCATACATGTCTCATACTCAGGTAAAGATGTTTCAGAATCTCGTGGACCTCGTAAATACGCATGCCCGAAAAAATAAATGGATCCTAAAAACATGCACCATTTTAATTTCATAAGAAATTGGGCGACAGGGTAGGATTTGCACGTGCTAATAATGTCGAGTATTTCCAATAAACATGACATATTATGTTTCTCTAATCTTAAACATTCCAGTTAGTCATCGTATTTTTATTTTAGCTATAAAAATTTACGACTTCCCGTCTTCACAGCCGATAAGAATTGCTGTGTAAAGGTGTAAACATGTAAAATATTTACATTGCACTAATTTGGCTTGTAAATAAACCTTTTATTGAAAAAAAAGAGAACAAATAAATAAATAACAAATAAATGTATGATAGAGAAATAATAGGATTTTGGATTTAAATTCAGCAAAATATGTTTATATACAAGACGAAAACAACAAATTCTTTGGGAAAAATATTCGCATGAGATTTTTTGCCGCCTGAAATTTTTTGCATAATCACTTTCATAAAAACTGCAGAATAATGTTCAAGATGTCGCCCATATAAAAAGTTGTCCTAATTTATTGAATAGTTTTGTATAAATTCATTTTTACATTGGGATAAGGGCCTCAAACAACTAAAAACAATGTTTTAAAATCAAATAAGCCCAAACTAAAGTATCAGGAACTGATAAAACAAGGTTTGGTGAATTCAAAAATAATTGTGTTTTAGAGCCTCAAAAATCATGATTTTTCGTTTTTGTTTTCAGTTTTAAATTGTTTAAGTTGAAAACGATCAACTTTAGGGAAAAATTACAATTAACCTTTTTTATTGAGCATGATCCAAAATCTGTGTAATTAAATTGTCTGCGTATTTAAATTAAATGTACACTACCTTCAATAATGAAGGTTATATCTCTCTTCTTCTTTCTTCAGCGCGCTGGACTGAAAACTGGAATTTCGTTCTTGCACTTGGATGGGGGGTGATAAACTATTTACTTTTATGGGGTTATATGACACTCTCTAGATAGTACTGATATTATATACTCAATTTGACTGTGCAACCGGAATAGTCTCTAAGTATTTAAGAATATTAATGCGGCATCTACATGGAGACGGAGTGTTAGGTTACGCACGATAAGACACACACATACACGTTAATTAAAACTAAATAAGAAATGAAATAATTAATAAAATGTTAAAAGAACTAAAAAATATACATGGAGGGACGGAATACCGAACTTGCCACCTTGATAAGTTTGTATTTATAGGTCATTGTTGTAGCCGTCATCGTCGTCGCTATCAGAGAGTTATGTTTCAGATGATTCGCTATCATCATCTAAATTTATGATGATCTCATGCGCTTCATCCAGAATGTATTCTCGGCTGAAGTACTCTTCTTCTACTTTATCAACATGCCTGCAAGTATTTGCCCATATTTCTGGCGTGATTTCATTTAGCTTAATTTTTGCTAGTTCTAAAACATCTGCTAATTTAAAAGTCGTGTTTCTTGCTGCAACTTTACTTACTTTCAGATTTGTATTTTTTCAGTTTTCTTAGAAATTCTGTTTATTTGGCTCTTATGTCAGTTTTTTCAATTAAAATTTTTCTATTGTCTTCCACTTTTCTCCACCTAAATCCTAATTTTTTCACAATTTTTCTGAAAGAAGATAGTTTACCAGTTACAATTCCTTCGTTTCTAACAGATTCGTAAACAGTTTTCATGGTAGGTCTTCTTTTGTAGATGGTAGCAAACGTGTAAATGGTATTTCTTATGACGTGTTTCTCAAATAGATTGACTGATGACTTGGGGCTGGGCTTGCAAATACTTGTTCTGGGTGATACAAATTGTGAAGTTGCTGGTTTGTTTTTACCTTCCTTAGTTATCCTTTTTACCGTACTGTCTGAGGTACCAGTTGCTTGAGCCACTCGCACTATTAGGGGTAAAGGAGTTGTGCAATATCCCAAATCCTTTTCCCGTTTCATAAATGAATAAAAAAATAATTTGCCTCCCTTGTCCATGGACCACTTTTCTATTGTTACTTTCCCTGTAAAACCGGTAGGTTTTAGATAATAGATAAAATGTTAAATATTGGTTAAGTTTAAGAAAAACATTAAAAAAAATGAATTGAAAAGAAAAGTACTTTAAAAGTTTGTAAAGCATTTAATTTCTAGCTAAGATCCTTTGGCTTTATACATTCTAGAAACTAAATGCTTTACACACTTTTAAAACACTTTTCATTTTAATTTATTAATTTATGACAAGCTTTTACAAAACATATCAATCTTTTGCAAAAAATATTAAAATAAACAATAAAGTTATCAGATTTTACACACTTTTAAAAGTGATTTTTTTTTTAATTCATTAATTTGTCATAAGTGTACAAAACATATAAATTATTTTAAAATAAACATAATTTAACTTACATTTTTAGGATCTCACTGTAAAATGTTAAAAACGACTTGAAACGCACTGAACATAAATAGTATCTCACTATAAAATATTAAAAACGATTGATCACAAAAATACAAAAATATTAAATCTATTTCACTAACGCAAAAAACTAGTTCGTCTCTGTCTCGCTAAGATAACGCACCGAAGAGAACTCAATGTTTTTAGCAATGCCTGATTTCGTTGTTTCATCCGTAGATCGACGTCACTAAATAATGACGTCAGGTCCACGACATTATGAATTATCTTTATTTATTAAGACAAATATTGCGCGTACGGTTTCGCTGTTTACAAGTTATTCAGCAAGAAACTAAAAACTATATTAATTTATTGATTCACTTTTTAATTTTTTCAGGCAAGTTTTGGATCGTTCAGTTACTCAACATTTGCCCGTGAAGAGTTTGAAAACTTTATTTTTGAAATACAAAGCGTTCGAGGAAACACACGGAAATCCAGAGACCGTACAGGAAGTGAAAGAAAAAGTGAAGGAGCTCATGTCGAAAATATCAACTAAATGATACCATAATTACAAAAACAGTTTTGTAAATATTTACCTTTAAGTTTATAGGTTATAGGTTTTTAAATGTGATGATAAAAATGTATTTATTGTTGTTTTAATAGTAACATTGAAATTGCAGAAGTTAAAAATAATTTTTGTATTATTTTTATTATTAAAAATTCAAAATAAAATGTGTTGTTTTTTCGAATCTTCATGGCACAAGGAAAATGATTAATATTTGCATAATACAACAACTGTATACTTCTGTGATTATTTCTAAAAGGTATGGACTAATGTCGAGTTGTTGTGAAGCTTGCCACAATTTAAGTCTTGGAATTGTATCATATGCCTTTTCTAGGTCGATGAAGGCTAGATGTACTTCGGTAGCAACCGCTATTTTTTTTTCTATTAATTGTTGGAGTATAAACAAGTTTTCAGTGCAAGATTAAAGACCAAAAATTTAAACGCAAATAAACTTATTTTAATCTTCAATTGCGGCTCATTCCCATTAAGATAGTAATTAGATCTTCTCTCTGTCGTTGGCCCGGTTGGTGTTTCTCTTCTTCTTCTTTCTTTTTAATGACTGCTTGGATGTAATTGTGAACACTATACTATCCCCCCGTACTTCCCGTCATCTCTTACAGTCACAGGGTTTTATACCTATTTCTTTATACATTCTGTTTCTCTCCACTGTACATCTATTACACTCCAGCATTGTGTGAGTAACAAAGTCGGAATATTCGCAGTATAGGCATTTATCTGTATCTGTCTTTCTGAACCTATGAAGATACGCCCTAAGATAATCCACCCAGTCTCTTAAGCTCGGTATGAGCATCTTGGTCATCTGGGCAACTTCTTACTTGCCGTTCCACTCTTTTTGCCATTTTTCCATTGATTTTTCCCTTTCTTCTTTTTTTTAAAGCTGTTGTCAAATGATCTCTTCTCTCATAGATATGTCTTTTTTCTACTGCTAACACATGCAGAGGAACACAACCCGTGATAGTACATAAAGCCGCCGCAGATACAGTCCTGTAGGCACATGCTACTCGCAACAGACTCGTTCTGTCTACTTTTTCATAAACCTAATATTAGTGTGTATTAATGATTGTGTATTTATACAATAATTATTGTGTTCTAGATATTTAAAGTGGTAATTTAATTATTCAATTAGCGTTTTGTATTGTGTGTGAAGGAAAAATTACATTTTCCTACTATTCTTTATATATTTTTTACTTTATATACCCTGGGAGGCGGGTCTTTACCCCCAAAACCCTCCCTGGGTGCGCCACAGGGCTGGGATCGGATCTCGCATATCGGTATTTCTTTATGTATTTTATTCTCAATTTTTCGAAGCAGTTCATTAATTTTTTCAGGAAGCATTCTTAAATTATTTCTATAACCTTCTACAGCTTCAATTCTCATCTCTCTAAGCAAATAAGCACTTGCTCCATAACTTTCCCGTGTACTAATCCAATCTCTCACACAAAATTTTTATTTTTTTTTATTTTTTTGGGTTTTATTATTAAATTTATAACAATTGGAATGGTAAGTTTTCTGATAATAATATATTTTAATTTAAGACAAAATGTATATTGTATTATTTATTTACAAAGTCAATTTAGCGAGGTATACTCCCTACGAACCTTAAAAATAATAACATTTACTAGATTATTCTTACAATTTAAACTATATTTTAATACATTTATCGAAAATTCAAAATGGTGACTTATTTGAGTAATTTAAAATGAATTTATATAGTAATAAACGTCACTACATTCTTAGATTCATTGTCCAAGGTCCCATTGAATTAAAACGGTAGGAGCAGATTCCATACTGTCTTTTCATCAACTCAACATTTGCGACAGATCAAGTTCATCTTCTTTCAGTACAATAAATTGTTACTGTCGTAAATGAGTACAATAATGGATGACTTTAATGACGATTGCCGATAAAATGACTTTACTGGACTCAAACTGCATTATAAAGGACAGTATGAAATAAATGTCTTGTACATATTTTGATATTCAATTTTGTGGAATTTTTCGCAATGTGGAATTTTTGTTTTCCCTAATTATTTAGAGTATAAAAATATAAATCTTTATTCTAAATTATCGGAATTAATCGAAATTCTATTCAAAAGACACATGAAAAGAAACAAAGTTAAATCGAATAATAGAGAGTTTTAATACATATGATAAAAATGAACGCAGGTGAGGTAGTACTAAAAAAACAAATTTAATTCATTGACTGAAGAAAGGCATTTGATAATGTAAAAGACAACAGTAAATAAATTTTATAGATATTTAGATCACTTTTTTAAACCATCTGACCTAACTTCAAGCCATACATAAATGTACAATTACTTAACAAAGTTTAAAATTCTAATTACACAAAAAACTAATTTTTTAACAAACTACCAATAGAATTTAAGTAACCAACAAACAGTCAAACCTACGAAACTAATTAATACATTAAACTCGTTCTTAATACTGCTACTACAAGTGTGTTTGACAGAATTAGTCCTGAGTCCCTTTCTGTTCAACATATTGTGGACTCCAAGTACCTCAACTTGGTCTAGTTTTAAATTCCTGGAAAGTAGAACGGAGTACAATTTTCTTTCAGGTAGTTGGTGGCAGAAGGTGAGGACCATGTGGTTACCTACAGCTTTTAATACTTGAATAGTACCGGCGAAGTGTTTGAATTGGGGTTCAAGCGAAGCTCCTAAAACATTTGGTTCGATAAAGATATAATATATTTCAACATTCTTGGCCTATAACTTTACCAATAAACAAATTTCTTTAATTTACTCGTTTTTATTATACATATTGAGGCGAATGAGGTGTGGTACGAATAACGAATAAAATAGACACTAGTTTGACAAAAGTCACCCAATTTTTTTTTAGAGATATATCTTACAAAAATATCCTTAAACTATACTGCAGACGTGAGGTCTCTCAGACGTATTCGGTTTTCAAATACCTAATATTTTTCCGGATCGCGCACCCTACCAGTTTGAAATCAAGTGTAGCTACTGCTAGTGAACGGTCGATTGGTTTTTATCTGGTTATAAAATATTTGTAACGTCTCCCAGAAGTCACGTCTGTAATGAGGTAACATTTTCGAATTTAAAATATGATATGATTTCTAAGTTTTCTTTAATTTATTAACAGCTAATATTCCTGCAAATAAAAATATGGATGGGTCTTCAAAGAAAGAAATATTTATCGACAGAAATTTTGAGGAGACTTTGCTAAAACGAACAGAAGAAGAAGATAACGATGATTTTAGCGATGTTGATTCTAATAGGGACTTTATGCTTAGTGAGCAGATACAGGTCGTGAAATCGAAGCAGACCATGAAGAAGAACCTGAACCGAACCTCAACATTAAGAACCATAAGCTGAAGAAGAACGTGAAAAGTTTTCTTACGGAAAAGTCGCTTTAAGAAATCTGTATATCCTAGAGCAATTCGCACTTTATAACATAATATTATAGTAAAAGTGTCCTGGACAAAAAAACGTTTCAAGAACTGATTCTTCCGGGCTCTAATAAGTTTGGAATGGTTTGTTTGATGGCGAAATTCTTACAATTATTTTAGAAAGGACAAAAACTTTTGTTGATTCCAATTTTTAAATCAAATCAAAAATTAGATCAATATTTGCTGCAGACGGGTCAGGTATAGACATATGTCGATGTGTCACAAATGCAGACAGACTTTGGCAGAAGTAGCCAAAGAAGCTAGTCTTGGGAGTTGCAACTCCCAATGTCGGAAGCATGACAGGTAAAGAAAGAGAGCTCGCTCGATTTCATGCAAAGTAGAAACTTTGTGTGCAGGAAACTCGTTGGAAAGGTAATAAGTCGAGAGATCTTGGAGATAATTGCAAGTTAATATATATATTAGCTCACGGCAGAAATGGAGTAGGTATTATTTTGAACAATGAATAGAAGGAACATCTTGTAAGGGTAATTATAAGACTTGATAGAAAAAAGAGTGTCCAACTGAATAGAGGCAACACTAATGTGAACATCATATGTGTCTCCGCCCCACAGGTAGAGTGTAAAGAACAGGAAAAGGAAGAATTTTTGAGGACCATTAAAAGTGTTTTATTGGAGGTGATTTGAATGGACATAATGGTACAGAAAGAGCGGGAATAGAAAGTGTTCATGGAGTTTTTGGGATGAAAATAAGAAATGGTGAAGGAAATAGCGTGATTCACTTTGCAGGGGTACGTGATTCGGCTGGCATTAATTCGTTCTTTATGAAGACTAAAGACCAGTATGTTACCTATAGTAGCGTGGGAAGGAAAAGTCCTATAGATTTTGTGCTGTGTAGAAGTCAGCTAAAAGAAGGTACGAACTTTAAAGTAATAAAGGGTGACCAACCGATGATAGTCGTTACAAAGCAAAAGTTCAGGTGGAAAAGAAAGCGAGGAGGACACCAAAAGTAAAGTGGTGGAAGTTGAACGATAAGAATTTGGCAACAATCTTTAGAGTAGAGTGCTGGAAGAGCTTGAGTGAAAAGATACAGTAAATGACTGGTTAGTTAGCCAACATTGTTGCGAGTGGGAGAGGGAGTGTTAGGAAAAACATCTGGTAAAGGGTCTACTAGTCACAAAGAAACTTGGTGATGGAGACAAAGGAATTAAATGTTTGAAATTTTTGTTAAACTCGGAAAATTGTAAAAATTGTATGCCACTGACTTGTTGTTTGAAGTTTATTCTTTAAGAAACTATAAATATACTGTTTATTTTTTTTTCGTACTTGGGTGTAATTTTTATAATATGTCAAATATTAAAAAAAAAAAAAAATTTTCGTATTTGAAAAAATTGAGATTATTACAAATTTAAATGGGACAAAATATATATAAAATAAAAAACAATTACATAAGGTAGTAAGAGTTGTTTTAATTGTACGTCTGAGAGGCCTCACGTCTGTGACGACCTGACAATTTTTCCATGTCTATCATTACGGGTTGTATGCCATGTGGCGATGTAGAACATAAACAGGCCATTTGAAAAAGGTATCATATTATTGTTGAGAGGTATATTATTGTTGATATAATGCGATGGTCAACAAGGCGTGTAGACACACGAGTTACCAGTTTTTTTCGTGGGTTTTCAGAAATCCGTAGATCATCCTTCATCATCATGAAGACCACAAATCCAGGGCGGAGAAGAAGGTCGTCACAATGGTCTGGAGGCAGCCCCATGGTTTTAGGGCTTGTATAAAATCGAACCTGGAAATCGACAGCTGGTTTTTCAGTATTTGTATTGAGCGGAAGTCATGTAGGCTGAGCCATCAATATGGCTGAGAAATTAAACGATGGCCCTGAGTACAGGCGCCTCTTAAATGAGGCAGGGGTGCGAAGAATCTCCCGCTTGGCCAAATTTGATATCGAAAAAAGCTGTAGAATAGGCACATGGAATGTGCAGAGTTTATATGAACCCGGAAAAACACACAATGCTATAAATGAGATGAGAAGGCTGCAAATATCAATTCTGAGTATTAGTGAAATCCGATGGCCCGGATCTGGCCAATGCCATGTGGATGATCATGAAGTATATTATGCAGGAGAAGACAGTAATGGTGTAGGATTCATAGTCACAAAGGAGGTTAGCAAATGTGTCAGGGCGATATACCAGGTATCTGAATGGGTCATAATGATTCAGTTGAACGCGAAACCCAGAAATATAAATTTAATACAAGTGTATGCACCGACAGCGAAAAGTGAACTAGAAGAACTTGAAAACTCAAGACTGACCAACTCAAGACTAGAGATCTTACCATTATGATGTGTGACCTTAACGCTAAGATAGGAAAAGGCAGACAAAGTAACAGTATTGGATGTTATGGACTGGGCGATAGAAATGAAAGAGGAGATTATTTCGCAGATTTTTGCAAAGAACATAACCTATGTATAATGAACACCTTTTTCAAACTACCTAAACGAAGATTATATACATGGAAATCTCCAGCAGACACTCCCCGAAATATCGTCAGAAACCAAATTGACTACATAACTATCAGTGAGCGTTACAGAAATGCAATAAAGTTTGTAAAAACTTTTCCTGGTGCCGATGATCATCAGATTTCCATCTGATCACAATCTGTTGTTAGCCGAAATAAAATTAAATCTTAAACGGATAAAACAACAACGATCCTATAACCAACTAGATATGAATTTTATTAGAAACAATAATAGTCAGATGATTGCAAACAATTTAGAGAGCAATTTTGAGAATTATGAACAACAAGAATCTATCGAGGGTTATTGGAACCAAATCAAAACGATTATAAGCAACTTAACTCCAAACTTAAAAGAGAGCAGTCAAAAAAAGCAAACAGTGGATGAACGATGAGATTTTGAATTTGATGGCAAAAAGACGCAATTTTAAAAACCAAAATGTCGAAATGTATAAAGTAATTAATAAAGAGATAAGGACTAAAATAAGAGCTGCAAAACAAACCTACTTCGAAAATAAATGTTTAGAAATTGAAGAGTTACGGGGAAAACATAATTCATTTAATATGTATAAAAAAATAAAAGTACTGACAGGTCAGAACAAAAAACGGAGACGGAAAACTGATTATCACTAACTTACATAAAATAGACACATGGAAAGAGTATATTGAGGAACTGTTTAGTGATGAAAGGCCCGCGTTTGAAATTAACGAAGTAGTTACAGGACCTGACATAACTATGAACGAAATTGAACAAGCAATACGATTAGCAAAGACCCGAAAAGCGACGGGACCAGATGAAATACCGAGTGAAATAATAAATCTCTTCGAAAGTTCAGGTAAAATATCTCTCCTTCATCTGTTTAATAAAATAAAACTGGCTATATACCAACGGATTGGCGGCTGTCGACTGTTGTGACGATACCTAAAAAAACAAATGCAAAAAGATGTAGTGACTACCGAACCATCAGCTTGATGAGTCATGTTTTAAGAATATTTCTACGAATTTTGAACTCTAGGATGTACCACAAAATAGAACAACAACTTGGTGACACACAGTTTGGATTCCGCAATAGCTTTGGAACAAGAGAAGCACTATTTAGTATTCAGGTTATGGTACAGAGATGCAGAGATGTCGGACATACAGTTTATATGTGTTTTATTGACTTTGAGAAGGCCTTTGGTCGGGTAAAACATACTGAAATGATAGCCATTCTTCATCAGGTAGGTATTGATGATAAAGACCTACGCATTGTGTATTTGGGTATATCAACTGTGTAAATATTCGTAAACGTCCCTTGAGGCAGATGGATAATTTAAACGATACATCCGCCACGTATGTTTTTGTTTATGGTCGTTTGCGTCTTCAAATACAGCTCTTTTTTTATTTGTAGTCGAAAAATCCCTCTTATACTTTCGAATTTGTAAGGGTAAGCTTCCTTATGGTGTATTTAACGAATTTATCCTTACTTTTTTAATAAAATATTGTAAAAAGCTAAATTTAAATTAACTTACCTCCACTTTCAGGGCCTGAGGTTATCCAAAATCCTGATCTGCTGACATTGTACCTTATATGGAACTCTGTATTTTCTCCATTCTCATCCCAAATCAGTCTCAAATATTTCACATCTAGACCAGTTTGTCTCATATCGAACATGTGCTGTTTGCGAATGTTCGGGTAGTTTCCGTAAGTGGTTTGCCGATCATATTCGGTTTGTTCGTAGATTCTTCGACGTACTTCGTTCTGGGTTGTTCGGTCTGTATATGCTGTAGTAGTTCTGTAGGTTACTCCATAAGGGTGATCTGAAAGATAATATTAATTAAGACTTTACAGGTTTGGTAATTCTAATAACAGGAATGTTTTTAAACATTTTTCGGTAGTAAATACCACTGACATCTGACCAATTGTCAATTTATCTATTTTCTTTAAATACTAAAAAGAATTAAATTCTAAGTACTTTACACGATCCTAGTTAAAATATGGCCTACTTTAGGGACCAGCAACCCTGCCCCCACGTCAGCTTATGAGACTTCACCATACCATATCGTGAAACTTATGTGTCCTAATCCTATATGTCCTACCTTTCCATATATTCTCTCCTAGTACTAAATTCCTGGTGAAGGTCAGCAACGACCACCAGTTCCGAAATAAGGCGCAATAGAAATAATCTAAACCGGCTTGTTATTGGAATTCCACAGACACAACTATGATAGTTTGAACAGGAATCCTAAACGTACGGTCTTTAGTCCGAGACACCCCTTAAGTGGGGAGATGGTGCGAAGAATCTCACCGTCAGATAGTCAAATAAAACCTCTCAACATTCAAAAGAATGATAATCGAATAGTTACTTTAAACATTAAAAGTCTACACCAATCAGGAAAACTAGACAACTTTGTATCCAATATGGATAGACTAAATAATATTAAGTGTTACGACATACATGATACTATGAATAACAAGATATGATCTTCCCGTAGCTCAAAATCGGTCGGGTTCGCGCATGCCGTCATTGGAGACTAGAATTTGAATTCTTGTTAAAGTTAAATGAGATTTGTATGCATTCTGTTGTAACGATGAGTCCAAGCCATCACCGTTAAACCAGCGTGCGCGCGAACCAACCCATGAAGTAGGAGTGTATCGACAGTAGAAAGGGCAAAACTTTGCTATATAAACCGCATTATTTCCTCATAGAGGCAGAATCGTCAGGTGTTGACTGAAGGTTCTCTTCTTCCCTACCCCGGCTCGTGGACGTGTTGAGTTCACAAGTTGTTCCATACCGCCGTTATCCGGAGAGCGTGTTGAGCTCTCCATTACCCGTACTCCGAAGCAGTCGTGTTGAGACTGTCGAGGAGTGTCCTATTAACCCGAATCACTTAAGGGACGTGTTGAGTTCCTTTCTTTTCTTTGTACCTATCGTCCGCTGTTATTAAATCGACACATCGTTCACGTAAAATTCCGAAAACACACTCGATTGCAGATAAAACTTCATACGACAAGGTCAAACTTAATTTGGATAAATAGGCCAGGTACTGAGAAGACTAAACTAAATTGTAAATATGTACATAAGATTTTTGTCAATTTAATTTAAGGAAGACAATAAAGTTTTATTTTTATTTTGAACTCTGTCTCTGACTGTCCAAAAGCTACCCGGATAGTGACTCCTACGAGAGGACGTCACACTGTGATGAAATTACTAGACGAAACTAAGTTAAGAGGTTTAATAATTACAATAATCGTACACATAAGGATATCTCCAAACTATTTATTAAAGATTATTTATTGATATATACAAAAACTGACATTTCGAACGTGCACGTCTCCAATGACGTCACAAAAACATGCGCAATATCTTATCTTATAGTCATAGTATCATGACGACATAAGTGAAATCCTATGGTCAAACTCAGGAATATGTCAAACAGAAAATGGAAATCTAATATTACTCTTGAAACACTGATAAAAAACTTTAATGGAGTAAGAATTTTTCTTATTTAAGAAACCAACGACTAGTGAATTTTGTACCTTACTCCGATAGAATAATCATCCTTCAACTTCAGTCAACCATTTGCAAATTGAACTTAATACAGGTATGAGCCCCCACCACAGCCCAACGGGGGAAGAAATCGAAGCATTTTCGAACAACTATTCGCTCCGTGTGTGACCATGGTAGGGGTACATTAAAACGATGCCAGCGTGCGTAGCGGCGAAATATGACAAAATTGGAATATTGGACAAAATATTTTTACGCATAAATTTTATCAAAAATGTGTGCAAATACATGTTGCGTATTTAATTCTGCTAATAATAGCAAAAACAGTTAGTGTAGTTTTTATAGGTTCCCAAAGATTACATATAAATTAGAGAAAAGAAAAAGATGAATTCGTGCAATTAATATGAAAAAGTAAATATCACATAATTTCATTTTTATGCAATTGAAATAGGAACAATTTAAATAATTTACCTTGAATGATATTTCATAAGGCTTCAAGCTAACTTCAGATGACTTTAGCTTTTATATCATAACTTTTACTATTATTTTTTTTAATTATATGCTCTTTTGCGTGAAAAACTTGATTTGCCAGTACTAGATTTTTCGCTTTCTTTTCCGTTTGGAGTTGAAAAGATATATTATGATGAATTTTGAGAAACTCAGTTTTTAATACTACATTTATTTTGTACATAAACTGAAAAAATATAGTTAAAAACTAATTTATTAATAATTGTCAATTTCGCATGTATTTAACAATGTCAAACATTTGTCATATATTTAACCTGAAAATTGGGACTCCAAAATTGTCAGATGGAGGCGGTAGGTGTCGCATCAGTCACGCACGGAGCGAATAAGGTGTGTTAAAATTAAGAGAAGAGTAAGTAGAATAGAATAGAATAGAAATATGTAATATTGCCACTGAAAATTGTACAATTTTATGGACAAAGCTTAAAAAAGTTAGAAGATAACAATTAAAATTTACTGATATTACACAAATCGACAATATGGCAAAATTAAAGATAATAAAATAAACAATCCATTGCAAAATTTAAAGTTTAAGTTTCTGCATGTGATAAATATAGAAAATACTTTAGTTGCTTGTATATAAGGTTACTGTAATTTCTTAGCTATTCATTATCTTTTCTACTGAATAATGTGGTCTTTTAGATAGATAGGCTTTTGTCAGTTTACGGTCCTTAGGGAAAAATGTTGCAGATTTAATTAAGTTGTAAAGGGAGATGGTTGTATATTTTTTTTTACCAACTATAATATAGATTTCTTTACTAACTCAGTGGACGGGATCGATAAACATCAAAGGTTGAGTTTCTGGTGGAGTAGTCATGATTAGCTCTTGTTGGGAAAACGTGTAGATAGGTGTTTAAGAATTAAGCAAATACTTTCTAAAATATATAAAGATGGAAGCGTTAAAATCCCGTGATTTTTTAAGTAGCTTCTGCAATGGTTTTTCTTCTGAAGCTAAACAGATACCGTATTGCTTTTTTGTGTAACTTAAAATAACATCATATTATGCAGCTAGACTATAAACCCCAAAAAAAGACCATATCGAAGATGAGACTCTAATAAAGAAAAATATGTTATTCGGGAAGATGCTAAATTGATTAACTTCGAAATAGATCTTATTGCATAGACTGATGCTAGTTGCTTACTTAACAAATCGATATGAAGGGTGAATAGTGTGAAATCACAGTTATAGTGATGGGCGACTACAATACCAAAATCCATGAAGGAAGTTATTAGGAGTATATTGATAAGTTCGGAATGGATGAGAGAAACTAGAGAGGAGAAAGAGTATTGCAATTTCTATAGAAGAGCAAATGGTAGTGAGCAACACTTTATTCAGGCTGTAGAAGCCAACATTATACATATAGAAAGCACCACGAAACAATAAGGAAAAAAAATCCTAAATCAAATTAATTACATTCTTGTCAGTAAGAAGAATGGAATAAAATCAGTAAAGACTTACCCAATTTGAGTTATACCAAAGTTGATATTAGAAAATTACAAGACCCATATACTGCTCAAATTACAACTCATCTAATTAATTAAAAAGAGCGTTGTAGCAGTTATATGATGTAATGGTAAAAAACTAAATAAATAAAAGTAACCACTATTACTCGTCAGAGACGAAAATGCCACTACACCTCTAAAAATCATACGAACAATGGGAATAGTTGACGATGCAAAAAAGTTTACCAAATAGTTCTGTTCTAACTAAAAGTTTTTCAAATAAAAAAATGTAGTTAAGATAATTTTAAACAAAAATGTTTATAAGCATTTTTTATGTAGAATGAATCGTTCTCTTAGAAACAACGCTTGAAGCAACCGTCAATTTTGCATGTCAGTTACACGCGCGAAATCAATGTTCAATAAAATTTGTATCAGCTCGACGGTAAAAATTCGATATCTTTCGAGTTAAGTGACCTATTAACAAAAATTAAGATGCGTTTTAAAGGTAAAAAAATCAGCTTTCGTATGCAGTTTTTGTATTTTGCCGCAACTAAACTCAGATTTTATACAGCTGTTAAATAAATAAACGTGGCGCGATTTTTGCATTTTTTATGATTCTCACGAGATCAATATAATATGTCCCTTTCATTGACTGGCCACTATGAAGTTTCGATAACTAGAGCTATGAACTAGAGTTTAACCTTTAAAACCTACCTAAACAAATGATCTAACACATTTAAAACGTTCTTCTTTCAATTACACTAGTATATTTTTCAAAAAAATAAAACTTCTGTAATAAACTACTCTCACAAACGGCCTCTTTTTTTTTCATATTTCAAATGTCTCATTTTGTTACTACATAAAATTGAAATTTCATGTCATAGGTTTTAAAGAATGATCTCTAATAATGGAAATTTTACTACAAGTGGTCAATGAAAGTGATCAATTTTATTGATCTCACAAGAATCGTAAAAAATAGCAAAAATCACTCCACGTTAATTTATTTAACACCTTTATAAAAACTGAGTTTCTTCTCGACAAATCACAAAAACTGCACTCTTTGCCTTTAAAACGCATCTTGCTTTTTGTCAGTAGGACGTTTAGATCAAAAGATATCGAATTTTTACCGTCGAGCTAATGTTATTGAACATGGATTTCGCGCGCGTATCTGATATGCAAAATCCCCGATTGCTTCAAGCGATTATCTCATCTACATTTTCTATATGAAACATTTTTTTCTACAGTGTACAGAATTACAGATTCTTGGTAAATCGATTTTTTTTTGAGTTTTTACCTCTCTGAGAGGGGGTTTTATAAAACGAAAACGACGTACATAAATGTAAGCAAATTAACAAGAATGAGACTTACAGAATCTTATCATAGAAGATTACAACATTGAAACCATTAAAAGTTTTACGTACATAGGCCAATGACGTATAATATATTCTACGTCAGGGGTGCTCAAACGGTCGATCGCGATCGACTGGTCGATCGCGAGTGCTTTTTGGGTAGATCTCGAGAAGAAAAAAAATTTTAATAAGTAGATAGGTAACTAAACTACTGTCAGCAGAGTTAAACGTTTTTATTAATACTGAACTATACAAATACATAGAATGCTTGACTAAGCATCATTGCAATTCAAAGAAGTGGGGACAACAAAATACTGTCCACACAGCATATTTTATATTTACATATATTAACTAATTATTTTATTAATTCAATATTTATTATAATTATTAATCAAATTTGGGATGATATTCTATCAACTACAAAAATGTATTAAGCAATAAAATAACACTGCTTGCGGCAAAAGGTGGCTTTATCAAAGGAACGCGCGGCACTTGTCAAAGAAAAGCCGTGTTGTTTCTAAACAAGCGACAGTACAGTCTAGTTTTGGGCGGCGCGTTTGACGGCACCATTCGAGACTTTCGTTCACGCCGATATAAATGTTGCGAATGCAGGAATTGGAGTTATTCTGAATTGTAACTTAATAGCGATATTACGTCGATACACAGTTTATTATTAAATAGTGTAAAATGAGTGCAGTGCACCATTCGAGACTTTCGTTCACGCCGATATAAATGTTGCGAATGCAGGAATTGGAGTTATTCTGAATTGTAACTTAATAGCGATATTACGTCGATACACAGTTTATTATTAAATAGTGTAAAATGAGTGCAGTGAAGAAATCTAAAACGTATCATTTTAATAAGGATTGGGAGGAAGAATTTTTCTTTTCTATGGTGAAGGATAAGTGCATTTGAGTTATTTGTCGTACATCAGTTGCAATACCTAAGGGTGGTAACTTAGAGAGGCATCATAAAACGGTTCATAAAAACTATGATTTTCCGCCACAGAGTGAATTAAGAAAACGAAAAGTAAGTGATTTGATATCTTGTTTGAAAAAAGAAAATCCATGTTCACAAGACCAGCCAAACAATCAAAAGCTGCTACGATCGTGGCATTTAAAATATTTCATATTTTGGCGAAACACAAGAAACTATTTGAAGATGGATCGGTGGTGAAGGAAGCATTTATTGAAGCGGGTGAGACTTTATTTGGAGATTTTAAAAGTAAAACAGAAATCATTTCTGCTATTAGAGAACTTCAGTTATCTCGTCCGACTGTCACAAGACGTATAGAAGTCATGAGTCAAGACATCGCAGATAAACTAAAACATGATATCATGGAATGTACATACTTTTCTTTACAGTTCGACGAATCCATCGATATGACAGACACTGCCCAGCTGTGCATTTTTATTCGGATGGTATTCAATGACATGTTGGCTAAGGAAGAATTTTTGACAATCATTCCTCTGAAGGGGAAGACCCGTGGCGAAGATATATATGACGTTTTCTTAAATTTTGTAAAAAACTACGAGCTACCAATATATAAATTAATGTGCATTACAACCGATGGAGCACCATCAATGACTGGAAACAAAAACGGTTTTGTGGCATTGTGTCGAGCTAATGAAGAATTCCCTTCATTTTTTTTCATTCCATTGCATTATACATCAACAAGTTTTGTATTCAAAAGTTTTAAACACGGAGGAAATTATGGGCATTGCAACAAAAATTGTGAATTCCATCCGTGCACGTAACTTGCAACGGCGGCTCTTTCAGTTGCAGTTGGAAGATAGGGAGTCAGCTGAACACAATGATTTAGTTCTTCACACGGACGTCAGGTGGTTGAGTCGCGGAAAATTCCTAGAAAGGTTTCAAGAATTATTGCCCGAAATAACAGCTTTTTTAGACAAAAGAGGTGATGACACTCAGATTTTGAAAAACGAAAAATGGCTAAACGATTTGGCATTTTTGACTGACATCACAATGCACTTAAACACCGTTAACTTGGAGCTTCAAAGTAAAGGAAAAACTATTATTAAGATGATTAGCGCAGTAAACGCATTCAAAAGTAAATTGCAACTTATGATAGATCAACTGAAAAGAAAGGATCTGAAACATTTTCCGTCTTTGAAAGCAAGGATTAATCAGTTGAATTATAATACGTATGAGGCTGAATTATCAAATATTTTGGGACAATTCGAAATGCGTTTTTATGATTGCAGTAAATTGGAAAATATAGCATCATTTATGAGTTATCCTTTTTCATGTAAAAACATTGAGGAATTGGAGTATCCGATACAAATTTCTGGCGTTTTATATCTAAAGATAAATATCCGAATGTAAGTCAAATCGCCCTTTAACTGACGGCATTTTTTGGGTCAACTTACTTGTGCGAGTCTGCATTTTCTGAAATGAAGATAATTAAGTCAAAATATCGCAATCGACTAACTGACGATCATATGACATCATGCTTGCGATTAGCACTCAGTGGTTACGTACCATCTTATGAAAAGTATGCTGAGGACATGCAGTGCCACGCTTCAACATCCAAAGCTCCTCCACTCCTTAGTTAAGTTTAACACCATATGTAACCCTTTTGTTTTGTAACAACAAATAAACTCGCAATTTTGAATAACTATGAGTTTTTTCATTGATATTGTAGAGAAGAACCTAACTAAACCTAACCCAAACCTTGACTAAAATAATGTACCTATATTGTGCATAAATCTAATATCTATATATGCTACGGTACGCCCTACCTAGGTAGGTAGGGTGTATCGTGTATGTACGACAACCCTGCATCACACACACTTGCAGTCTTTCAGAGTCGATCGTAAGTAGTCTAACGATATTGAGGTAGATCGCCAGCAGTTCAAGTTTGAGCACCCCTGTTCTACGTCATTGACTTCTCACTAGTCACCGTAGGCTCACTAGACATAAAAATGTCATCTTACAAATATACCAAACTCTGATAAGACCGGTCCTAGTATATAGGTTAGAGACATGGACATTGTCAAAAAGCAATGAAAAGCTAATAGCTACATTTAAAGGAAAACTCCTGAGGTACACATCCTCTATATATAAAAAAATAAATAGTTTTTAATTATATATACCAAACAAAGAACCTGAAAATGGACCTAGATTTGAAAACTATAAAGGTTACCAACTTAAAAATAAAGCAAGGAACAAATCAGGATCGCGTAAAATCATAGAACAAGACAAGACCTACAAAAGGTTATTTAGCTAATGATGATGAAAAATAGATATATGTTTTATCTGTGATATTGTATAATAGTCTGAGATCCTACTGCAGAATCATTACGTTCATAACGAAGTTAATCAAACTCAGATTTGTACATACAATTAAAATTAGGAGAAAAGACAGTGTCAGTTTGGAGTGTGAGCTGTGTTAGTTTTTAATCATTCGTCCATAGATATATAATAATATACATATTTTCACTTGTCAATCCAGTGTCGTTGCACGCTAACTCTATTTTACTTTATCTTTGATACATCGAGTTAAAATTTATGGAGAAGCTATGAGCATATTAACGTATGTATTAAAAACGGCATAGGTAGGAGTGGCTAACTATAATACCAATATGGCGGTGACATCAGGGCCAGACTCAATAATAATAAAACTACTATACAAATATGACTAGTTATTCAGAAGATTTAATCATAATCTAAAAAAGTGCAATACATTTTTAATAAACTATGACTTATTTATCCCGCGGTAAACACTAAAAACACGATATATTATATATAAAGATAAATTAATACAGTCAAATAGTATTATTTATTCTCTGAAGTACGGGCCACTAGTTTGTTTACATATTTGTATACTAACCTGTGGAACGATATTCCTGAAGATTTTTTATTAACATTACTTCTGCTACTGCAACTACGTTGAGAACAAGAAACCATTATTATGCACTATCACAATATATTACAGTTTCTATAAAATTATTATAAAACTGAAAATATTCGAAAATCAACAAATATAACCAAACATATACGATCTGTCAAAAGTTTCAAAACAATAATGCCAATATGGCCGAAGTTAGGTCGTTTTTAGCCACGTGATGCCCTCTCCATAGATTCTAACTCGATGCTTTGATACCTCGCTTTTTAAACAGCTGGCAACCATAATTTGGGACCATTTTTTTCTCAAGCAACCCTATATCATCATATTAGAAAAAAAATTAGCTTTAATTTGGTATAATAAACATGTGTATACGTCATGAGCAGTGATGAAACTTTTGTTCAAAAATTATGTTCTATTAATTAAATTAAAAATATTAGGGACCACTGTTTAAATGGCAACCTATTATCGATGTGTACTCTTAATTTTAAATGTATGTAAAAATATGAGTTTGATTAACTACGTTATGAACGTAGGGATCCTGCAGTGGGATCTTGTACTATTGTGCTATGTTAGTGTCTTGTATATGTGAAAAATAGAGTGAAAATAAAGATTTGTACCTTTTCCATAGTTATATCCATAGTTGTAACCATCGTACAAAGGGTTAAAGGTCGAAGTTGCTTCCCTGTCTTCGGATATGTGAATGACAGGACATGAAAATTCTGTTCTGGTTTGAAACATTTCGTCTTGGTGGTTAATTATTTCCACGCCAAACCACATACCCATCAGCTAAAAAGGAAACAATATATTTTAATTTTCTATTTTATCGGTGAGCAACCTTTTTAATCAACAGGCCAATAAATTTTTTTGGTGGGCCGCACATAAAGTAACACTTATTATTTACAAAACTTTATTTATAATAAAAATTAGAATAGAATTTAAAAAAGTAAAGATTTCATATAGTACCTAAATATTTCATATTTTTTACCAGTATTTTTTTTTCTTTAAAAATACCTGTTATTTTCCCAAGTTATTCTCCATTTTTATGTTATATTCTTTCAATGTCGACACATTGTCTATGCATATTAAGCATACAACACAATAATTTCTAAAATTGCTCGTTAAAAGTTTACCAGTTTTACTTTTAATTTATTTAAATTTTTAATAAAGTTATGCATTTAATTTTTTTCTGGTCTAATGAATTAAATGCAGTACAGCCAAAACCGAAACTGAATATTTAAGGTCATCAGCCAACGTTGATTCAATCATCTTCAACTTCCTTTCCAAATTAAATCTTCCTTGACTTCTTTAATAGAAGTATTAAGAAGTTACTCATCGCAGACCCAAAAATTAATTAACTCTAATAATAGTACTAATTCGGTGTTAAATAAACCTGAGTAATAACATCTCATACTGTGAATACAATAATAAGCTTCTAAACAACTAATAATGATTACAACTTTATTGGACATAATTTTTATCGATTTACTTATATTAAAAAATTAATTAAACATTTTTTTTATTTACAAAAGCCCTCTTTAACCTAATTGGGCTATTAACGAAATAGTAACAGCAAATTATACTTTGCTTAGTAAATTAAATAGACCAGGGAAATAACGATTTTCTCAAGACACTTTTTGATACAGGTATCTAACAACTGCTTTTGATAAATTAGGTGACAACTTCTTCTTCTTTGGGTGCCATGTCCGTATTCAGACGTTGGCCGTCATCATGTTTACAATTTCCTGAAACCTTTCTCTGTCGGCTGCTGCGCGAAATAATTCTTCTACTGTGGAACCACACCATTGTCTAATATTACGCAGCCATGAAAGTTTCTTTCGACCAATCCATCTCTTTCCTTCCACTTTTCCTTGTATTATAAGGCGAAGTAAATGGTATTTGGGTCCTCTAATTATATGGCCGAAGTATTCTGTTTTTCTCCTCTTTATGATGTTTATGAGCAGACGTTCTGAGTTGATCATTTGAAGAACATCTTCATTGGAAGTGTGCGAAACCCACGATATCTTTAGGATTCGTCTATAGCACCACATTTCAAATGCTTCTAACTTGTTTAGCATTGTGGTTTTTAACGTCCATGTCTCACAACCATACAATAGGATCGACCACACATAACATTTCAGGACCTTCTTACGAATGTTCATTGACAGGTTTCTCTTGCATAAAACTGGTTTCCAGGTCATAAAAGCCTTACGTGATATTTCGATCCTGGATATTATCTCTTCATCAGAGTCACAATTTACATTTAACCAGCTGCCGAGGTATTTGAAATGATTTACCCTTTCTATCTCTTCTCCATTAAGAGAAAGCAGACCTTGATCTATATGGATCTTTCCAACTGCCATCCACTTTGTCTTTGAAATGTTGATTTTTAGGCCTCTCCGATAACTTGCTTCACTGACTAGATTTAGTAATGTTTGGAGATCTTGTAAACTTTCTGCAAGAATGGCTGTATCGTCAGCGTATCTAATATTGTTGATTACTTCTCCACCTAGTCTTACTCCCTCTTGTCTGTCATCCAAAGCCTCCCTAAAGATTTTTTCAGAGTACAGATTAAAAAGAGTGGGTGACAAAACACAACCATAGGTTATCATGGGTTATCCATGGGTTATCATAGGCAGTATTTGGAGCATTTTCCCTAGAAGCATCGTCAAAAAGGTCAGTGATGTATCTCTTCCATTCTTTGCACTGTTGTTCGTGATCACAAATTTTTCCGTCCGCGCTTTTAAGTATGTGAGCATTTTTCTGTTTTCTAATTCCGGCAGTATATTTAAGTTTCTTATGCAGGTTGAAGCTGTCATGCTTTTTTTGGAGGTCTTCTATTTCTTTACATAAATTCTCAAGCCAGGATTCTTTGGCTTGCTTAATTTTTCTTTTTATGCGTTTATTAATTTCACGATATTCGATAATATTTCTATTTTTGTGTTGCCGTCGAACTTCCATCAGATCTAGAATTTCTTGTGTCATCCACTCATTTTTTGCCAACATGGTTGGTGTTTTCAAAGACTCTTGTACGTTCTCTAAAATCGAGTTTTGAATGGCATACCAGCATTCGTTAATGGTTCTGTTTTCATTCGTTAATGGTTCTGTGTAGGTGACAACAACATATAATAAACAAAATATGCAAAAGATTAAACGTTGTTTTATATTTTATTAACAATGTAAGATTTTTGCTAAGCTATTTAAATTTAAATACTTTTAGTTAAAAAGTGACACAATTTTACCGAACAAGCATAGAAAAACATTTAAAATGAGAGTTTGTTAAGTTATTTGTGTTAATTTGTTGCCTAATTATTTCAAAAATAGATTTTAAAGTTAATTTTTAAAAAATTTTGAATAACTTTTCTAAAAATGCACAAAAAACTTTAATTTCACCAGAAAATGGGAACAATATCACGAAATGTAACAATAAAACACTGAAAACTTTGTGGAAGTTAAACAAAATTTTGTGGAAGTTTGAAAACAAAGTTTTCAGTGTTTTATTGTTACATAAAATGAATTTCCATCAAGTAATGGTCGAATCCATCAATTAATATCACGAAAATTTAGCTATAAAAATTTCAGTAATGTTTTATTTAATAGTTATTGCAAAATTAAAATTGTTTATCCCAGAAAGCTTTTATCTACAACGTTATTATTCGAAAACTATTAGGTGTATATGAATTCTGAAAACACCAAATATAAGAGAAAGGGTTATGTTATCAAATTAATCAATAATAAATAAATATATTATCAAAATAAAAATAATAACTTTAAGCATAAAAATATTTAAAATAATTCAGGCGTATCAACATCTTAGAAGTTATTTTTTTTCCTTCACTCCAACAGAAGTCGATCATAGACTATATAATATTGAGACAGAAATCAAAATTTAAGTGCCGAGACTACAGAGTAAAAAGAGAATCCAACTGTGGGACAGATCGCTACTTTCTTTTAGCTAATCTTTTGTACCTCTCTAAATAATACTACAAACAGAACAGTGAAAGTGGGAGAAACAATACTACACAGTACAAAACAGAGAGATATAAATATAGATAAATGAGATAAATGAGAAATATAAATAAATAAGATAAATGAAAAATATAAATAAATGAGATGGAAAGAAATATGGACGTAGAACAAGAGTACAGCAACCTCAAAACGATAATAAAAAAAATTGCTTATGAATTATTCGACTATATATATTATATATGACAAAAAACACCATGAATCACCATGGATGACAGAAGACGTAACAAGAAAAAAACAAAATATATAAGAAATGGCTAACAAATAAAACATCTAGCAATAGAGTAACATATTAAAGGAAAAACGGATAAGTATGCAATCAAATAAAAGAGGCAAAAACCAATTTCTGCAAATAAAAATGTCTCCAAGTTGAAAATTTAATTGGTGGTTCTCAGACTACGGAAGCATGGAGAACTATCACTAATCTAAAGAAAAATATCTATAACTTCGTAAGCTACTTAATTCCTGTAGAAAAGTGGGAAAATCACTATAAAAATTTACTCCAAGAGTCCAGATTGGAATATATGGGAGAGGAATAGAGTATGGAGAGACAAACAAATAGCAACATTAATACTAATGACAACGAGGTCCGTACTGCGTTAATTAAAATGAAAAACGGGCGATCTCCAGGACCTGGCAATATAGCTGGAGAGTTACTTAAAGCAGGAGGTCCCATCCTAATAAAAAGAATTACTTTTCTAATGAATCAATGCTGCCAATAAATTAAAGTACCATCTGAATGGTACTTTAATTTGTTGGCAGCATTGATTAATGGAAAATTCATGGATTTATGAATGGAAAACCGCTCTCCAAGTGTCCATCTTTAAAAAGGGTAATCGAAAAGATCCTAACTGCTACAGAGGATTAAGTGTTCTACCTACTTTCGGGAGATTGTTTGGAAAGATAATAAATGAAAAGATACAAGATAATGTAGGACATCTATTTAGCGAAGACCAAAGTGGATTTACGCCAGGTAGATCTTGCACTGATAACTTGTTTATACTCCAACAATTAATAGAAAAAAGAATAGCGGTTGGTTCCGAAGAACATCGACCAAGAAAAGGCGTATGATACAGTTCCAAGACTTAAATTGTCGCAAGCTTTGTGCCACAAAGTCAAGGATTTAATTAATTCTCTCTTGCTACAAGAATGTAGCGTCAGCGTCGACTAATTTTTAAATAATTTTAAACTGTTTGTCCTTGTTTAGTGTAGTGTAATGTACGATTTATGTTTAATTTCATGTTTATGACATTCTGCGCTTGTTGGATAGCCCAAATTTGACGACATGCCCCTGATGATGCTTTAAAAAGGAAAAGTTCTTGTGCTCGATATCTACCTTCAATTTTTCAAAGTTCATTTATTTGAGCATTCAACCTTATATCAAAATATCAATATTGTTGATTGGTTGGTTGGGAGAACGGAAACGCTGTACGAGAGGCGTATGTAGCAATAAAAGAATCAGCTACAAAAATGGGCTTCATAATAAAAACCAACAAAACGAAGTATATAAAGATAAGCACGCAACCAAAAATCCTACGACTACTTTTCATAGAAAAACGGCGTCTTCGAAGCAGTGAACGAATTTGTATACCTGGAGCGCTCCGTAACACTAAAAATAATACTAGCGCAGAGTAAAACGCAGAATTTGCACGGCCAACAGATACTATTTTGGCCTTAATCTTCTCTTTAATTTCAAAATATCGAGAAATACAAAAATCAAACTGTACAAAACAATAATACGTCTAACATATTGGACAGACACCTGGATCCTGTTAGGATGCTTCGAAAGAAAAGTACTAAGGCTGGAGTGGAGCAGTGTGGAGCAAAATGACCCAGCTAGAAAAATGCTCCTTGATAGACCCATTGGTCAGAGAAGAAGAGGAAGACCCAGAACAAGGTTTTTGATAACATCGATGAAGACATGAGAAATATGGGAATACGTGCTTGGCAGAGAAAAGCGATGGATAGGAACGACTGAAGAGAAATTCTCGGAGAGGCTAGGACACACATAGAATTGTAAAGCCAGAATGATGATAATGACTTTTAGCAACACCATTTATGATTTAAAAGTTAAAATTTTTGTAATTTGTAAGCAAAAAATCTAAAAAATGGCATTTTTTACACTATAAATTGTTATTAATTAAAAAAAGATGGCGAAATCTCTATAGAAAACTTGGATTTATGATATTGTTCTGAAGCTATTTTCTTGTGGCATTGTAAATTAATTACTATTTAACTGGGAATAAGCCACAAATAATAAGCCTTTGGAAAACAAAATATATAGTACTTTATTCAAGTTTAAAGATGTTTTAACAAGTTATCAGAGAGGATTAATTACACCTGATTACAGTAAGACTCCTCATTTTTATGGAGTACGGAAAATTCATAAAACGAATATACCACTTAGACCCATTTGTAGTACCATGAATTCTCCTTCTAGTTAACTATCAAAATTTTTATTAAATCTTTTAAAACCATTTACAAATAAAAATGACACATTCATAAAAAATACACAACATTCTTTAAATAAATTATCAAATATTGAATTTAATTTAAATAATACTTTGGTAAGTTTTGACATAAATAGTTTATTTACGAATGTGCCATTAAATAAGACTTTAAGTATAGTCAAGACTCAATTAGAGAGTGATGATTCATTGGCAACTAGAACAAGACTAAACATATCGGCTATAATGGAGTTATTAACATTATGTTATATTATTTACTGATAATACATATTTTCAACTAAATAATGAATTCTATAAACAAAATTTTGGTCTAGCGATGGGCTATAGTTTATCTCCATTCTTAGCCGATATATTTATGGAAGATTTTGAAACAAATATCATTTCTAAACAAAATTTTAAACCCACTGTATGGTGGAGGTACGTAGATGATGTATTCTCAATATGGCCTCATGGATCAGAGTTGTTGGACACATTCCTAAATGATATAAACGATAAAGAAGAGACAATAACATTTACTATGAAAAAGGAATATAATAACACGCTACCTTTCCTGGATGTTTTAATCTCTAAGAACGATACTGGATATGAGACTCAAGTGTATAGAAAACCAACACACACCAATAGATATTTAAATTTCAAATCAAATCACAATATTAATGTAAAAAAGGAATATTTAAATTCTTATATGATAGAGCCAAAATATTTGTTAACATCTGATTTATTAAAAAATGATTATCCTTTATCGTTTATAAGTAAGGAATTTTCAACAATCGATCGAATAGAACAGAACAACTTAGAACGAGATCCTACAGCATGCACAAGGAATAATATGAGGAAAATAATAATACCGTACATAAAAGGATTATCAGAAAAACTCAAAAGGATAGGAAATAAATTCAACATTTCAACAACATTCAAAACAACAAACATGTTGAGATCTATTTTGTCCAAAACCAAACCAAACAATGAACAAGAAAGGACAAAGAATTGCATTTATAAAATACCTTGTGAATGCAATCAGTTTTATTTAGGTGAATCATCAAGGCCATTAGAATGTTAGAATGTTAGAATAAGTGAACCTCAATCTTATATTAAAAATAGAGAATTTGATAGATCTCAAATATGCAAACACGCATGGCATAATGAACATAGGGTTCAATGGAATGATCCAAATGTAGTCCTAAAAGAAACGGATGGTAAAAAAAGAAAAATCAAAGAAGCGGCTCTAATTATGATAAATGAGGCCAATTGTGTCGCAAATTCCTCGGCAGAATGTAGTAGGATCTGGTTACCAATATTGAAAGAGGAAGTTATTAATAAGAAAATACCAGTATTAGTAAGTCAGTAACATATAGAGGATACATCATTTATGTTTTTTAAATAACGTAACATATAAAATCAGAATTTTGATGTTTGTTGAAGGTAAACTAAATTCACGAACAAATACTTACAATGTCGGGATAGTATTATGAGGTTTTTTCCTGGTTTTTCCCTCATAATTTACTATGGAATCACTAACAGGAGAATTTTACTGTCATCATGTCATGTGTTTGTCTTTTTAAAGACGAATTACATGCTATGATTTTTTCTGACGGATATTCTCAAGTTAAAGTTGATTTCATGTAATCGAATGAACTATCTTATAAGTAAAGTCGTCTCAGGAGCGCAACTCAACAATATTGGCAATATCATTTTAAAGTCGTCTACTTTAAAATGCATAATTTTAAATTGTCAATATTCAATTCTGAATTGTCAATATAAATTAGTCAGATAAAATTAAATTATTAGAAGAATTTTTCACTATGTAACAAAAAACAAAATTTGTTTAATTTACTGTTTGTATTTTGAGAACGATTTCCGAAGTGGAAATTGAAACGTCAATAAACGTATTTTTATCTTTAATTGTGGCTTATTCCCAGTTAAATAGTAATTGGATTTATAAGTTAAATCCAGAAATATAAAAAAATTTCCATATATCTCGATTTGTCACAGACCCGAGGAAAATTTTATTTCCCACAGCAGTAAGGCGTATCCAATATTGAAATCCTACACGAAATTTCTTGAGTGAATTTTTAATGTACCTTATTAGGTTACCAATAAAGTTATTCATCGTGAGCATTCTGTAAATTTTATACGCGAAAGAATAAAAGTTTGTTTATCTAAGTGTTTTAAAAATTTAAATCTTAAAATGACATTTTAATGCAATATCGTGTACATTCCATAATTTCTATTCTTTGATAAGTATAAACAAATAAATCTCATTGGCCAATACACTACCTGTTCAACAATAACATGATGCTGAGGGTTCATATCGGCGCAGAAATAATTCGACGTATCTGCCGTAACGCCTGCCGAAAACCAAACACCAAAAACCACAAAAAACAACATCGTAACTTCCTTCTTACTAGTTAATGCAAAGACAACTAGATTAAGGTAAACGCTAAAAATTATTCAAAAATGTTTAATGAGGCGTAGGAGGCCGAGTATTACGTGTCCCTTTAATTTAATTTTAGCCACTTAAAGAGTCTGCTCTACTCCAGCTGAGGTTCACCAGCGTTGGAACGATGTATACTCGAATTAAGAGCACTAAACAAAGATGATAATTAGCTACTAAGAAGTATTTCCAAGTTAATGTTGGTTGTTTTTCAGCAAATTGCGTAATCTTTGAGGAAAAAATAAAAGTTAAATTATGTACATAAATATAAAGTAATGCACAAGGTTAACAGGTTATCAGGATTGCATGACTGTGTTAATAAAATTAATTGTGCAGCGTCTCTTGAGACACACAAATGAGATGATATTAAATGAATTGTATTGATACGAATAGAAGTGGTTTTAATCTTTTCTACTCGTACTAATGGGAAAATTCATTAAAAGATTGAATTAACCTACACAGTTAATTGCAACATATTTTCTGCGAATCTTCCCTTCTTTTCTATAAGGTTTTCTCTTGTAATGTTTGTTTCAACTCGTCAAGTTATCAGATCATTTTATTTCCTACTTTAGTAATGATGTTGTATTTTTTTCTAATTTGTTTAAATCTTCACTAAATTATTTTTCTCCACTACAAAATCACTTATATTGTCAACAACATAATTAATACAAACTATAGCGTGTATTAAGTCAACAGAAGAAAGAATAAATGGATATTTAAATAGGTTCCGAGAAGCACTGATGAAAGAAACCAAGAAAATGTCTAAAGGTCTAAATAATACCTCATATAGAGCTGATACATTAGAAAAAGAATACATACGACTGCGGCCTATGACCATGCAATAGAATATGCAAGAGAATATACGAACACATACAAAAAAATATTAAACCTTTATTAGAATCATAGACACTTCATAGATATTATAAAACCCGGACAAATAGAGTCAATTATGTCGAATGCTACAAAGTTCCTTCCACAAGAAGTAAATATAACAAGGCAGCCAATAATAGATACGATTGTACAAAATGAAGAAGGAGATATCGTCATTATTGGCTATTTTCTAATAATTGACAACACTAGATACAACCTACTGAGTCACAGCTTTTCCGTTGTCGGTGACAAGTAACATTTTTCGCTCGTTCTTGGTCCCAAGGAATCTACTTGCAGTAGATTATAATAATTTATGCTCTTTTAAAGTGACATATGAAGATAAAGAACGGTGTATAGAATTAAACAAAGAAGAGTTGGCATGTTCACCTATGACAATCATTAATATGGATACTCAGCCAAACTGTATCTTAAATGAATTAGATGATAGAACTCCCAACACCACCACAATGTTGTAGAGTACTGATAAAGCAAGCCAGTTGGTTGAAAATGAGCACACCAAACCTCTGGCTAGTTATTATACCATACTCTATAAATTTGGCTATAATGTGCGATTGTTCTTGATCTGAACATATAATAAATCAAACGAGTTTTATAGAGCTGTCACCAAAATGTATTGCTCAGACCCAGAACATACCATTACTCACATCCAGTAATATATTGGAAACAGCAACTGAAAGTTACTTAAAGTCTCTTGTCAGCCCTATTAAAGAGCTTATGCAAAGGCCAATAATAAAACAGATCAACATTCCTAGACATAATATAGGCACTCGAAAAGGTGAGTTGTCAAATATAAAGTTTGAGGCCAAGACATATTCGAACACATGTGGAAAACCATTGCCAAGCATCAGTGGATTCCATATTTAACCACAGGACTAGTAACTATATTCATTGTTATGTTGATTGTCATTATGTGAAAGGTAATCAGATATCTTCGAAAAGCCAAGAGAGTCCAAAAACAAAGGCATCAAGGTTCCTGCATCCAACCTCATCCAGCGCCTCGAAGAGATACGATATCATAACCAAATTTACGTAGAACTTTCGGGACAGTCCCACCTACAGCACAGTACCAAAATTGTAGAAACTTACTCATCTTTGTTTTATGTTGCGGACTTGCCCGGAAAGTAAATCGAAGAGTCAAGCCGTGCTGTTTTGTTAAAAAAAAAATAAGCAGGATGTTAGAACGAAGTTATTTTCTTATTTTATAGATGCCTTATAGTGCCTTATAGTATAACGAGTACACTGTCCTAAAAGAAAATCAGATAGTAAAATAAGTCCATATACTGAAACGCTCTTGGATCAAAGAAGACAAATGAGAAGCGATAAGAATGTAGATAGCAACACTTTAAGAAAAATGAACAAATCTGTTTCGAAAGCAATTAGGAGAGATTTAAGGAAATTTAATACTGATTATATTAAACGCACTATAGAGGAAAATAACAGCCTAAAAGTTCTACGTAGAAAGCTAACGAATGGGAAATGCGAAATTCATAAATTAAGAAACAAGCAAAATGAAATAATATCACGTAGAGCCGAGTTAATACAGGTCGTCGAAGAGTTTTACGAGAACTTATATAGAAGTATCCGAGAAGATAAAACAGCCATTTCAAAGAAGATCAAGAATCAAGGTTCCGAACTAATGCCAGAGATAAAGCTAGATGAGATTCGACAAGCATTAAGAAAAATGAAAAATAACAAAGCTCCAGGAGAGGATGAAATCGTAATAGAAGCTATCGTAAATGGAGGAGATATGCTATTAAATAAATTAAGGAAACTATTCAATCTATGTTTGCAGCAAAGAGAGGTGCCCAAAGAGTGGAACAATGCTACAACCATCCTTTTGCATAAAAAAGGAGATAGAACGGACCTAGAAAATTATAGACCTATTAGCCTGTTAAACCACATATACAAGCCCTTCACTAGGGTAGTGACATCAAGATTGGAGAAAAAATTAGATTTCTACCAACCGAGAGAGCAGGCAGGATTTCGCTCAAATTATGGTACCAATGATCACCTCCACACAGTAAAGACACTCATTAAAAAATCTATAGAATATAACAAACCTCTTGTTCTCACTTTCATAGATTTTCATAAAGCGTTCGACACGATCAAATTAGACAGCCTTATAGAAGCAATGAATGACAGCAGGATTGACCATAGGTATAGTGAGCTTATTTATAATATTTACAAAAATGCCACTATGACTGTTAAAATAGACAATAAAACCCGACCAATAAAAATAAATCGTGGAATAAGGCAAGGAGATACATTGTCGCCGAAATTATTCATAACGGCATTAGAATATGCCTTTAAGATGATCAATTGGGACCACAGATGAGTAACGATAGACGGCGAAAAGCTTAACCATCTCCGTTTCGCAGATGACATTGTCCTTATCACAGATAATTTAGGAGAAGCTACAGATATGTTAAACGAATTGGATTTTGCATGTTCGAAGGTGGGCCTGAGAATGAACTTGACCAAAACTAAGTTTATGACAAATTTGGTCCCCAATAACCATTTGACTATTCAAGACAAAGTGGTAGAACTGGTGGAGAAATATACGTATTTGGGTCATGAAATAAGAATCAGCAGGGATAACCAAACATGTGAGATCCAAAGACGAATTACTTTAACATGGGCAGCCTTTGGAAAACTGCGAGACACACTTAGGGCCAACATACCAATCAGCCTCAAAAGAAAAGTGTTTGACCAATGCGTATTTCCGGTCATGACCTATGGGACGGAAACTATGACTTTAACCAAGACCACGGCTTCGAAACTGAGAGTGGCACAGAGACGAATGGAACGGTCTATGCTGGGAGTGACGTTGAGAGACCGAATAAGAAACGAAGATCTACGAAGAAGGACGAGTATTACTGATGTTGTGGAACGCATAGCGGAACTAAAATGGAACTGGGCAGGCCATGTAGCGAGAATGCACGATTCACGATGAACGAGCAAAATTACAAATTGGAGGCCAAGAGCAGACAAACGCAGTAGAGGAAGACCACCTACACATTGGGCCGACGACATCAGGCGTATCACTAAAAATTGGCAACAAAGAGCACAAAATCGTGAGGAATGGAGGAGTTTAAGGGAGGCTATGTCCAGCAGTGGACGTGATAAATAGAGGCTGGATGATGATGATGATGATGATGATAGATGCCTTAGAAGAAGGAAACAAATCCTTGTTAAATATATTTTTTTTGGAAAAACCCTTTATCCGTTTGAATTAATAAATGAAATTTAATGACATGGAATAACTTCAGTGAAGATATCAAGGTTCCATATATTCTAATCTTCTTTCACTTGATGCTTGATACATTTTATTCGTAAGATCCCATTGCTGAAGACACTATTAAGCAGATTTTTTACATAATTGAATTTGAAAGTAACGTTGTTCCTAGCTACTTCATTATTATTTGAGCCCGCATATGTTCTATCAGATTTAACTCACAATGGTATGGCGGTAATCGAACCATCGTTTTTTTTCATTTAGTAGTTGATACACCGGCAGTGCTATAGAGCATTATCCGTAACAGTAACAGATCCTGGATCGCTTTTTAACAGAATATCTGAAACCCATTTTTCATAATAATCTGCATCCATTTCCTCATGGTAATCCTCAGTATTTTTAGAAACAAATGCATTTAAACCTCCTTCAATAAATCCTGAGTCGCTACCAATATAGCTAATAATAAGGCGTTTTTCCTTTCCGGATGGGGCTTTTAAACCTGTCGACAAACCAGTTAGGAAAGCTTGTCATTTGCTTTTCACATTTAAATCCTGCCATATTTTTGTCACAGTATGTCCTTCATGTAACCATATTTCATCTGTATATGTTTTTTTCCATCTCTTTGAAACTCTGTTATTTGTTTTAGATACTTTCTGCACCATAAAATAATTTTTTTTATTTTTCAATATTGGTACTATTCCTCTTTCTCTTGAAATACCTTTAAAGTTCATTTCACGTAAAGTACGTAACACAATAATTCAGTAGCTGTCAATAAAACTATATTTTACTCCACGACTTCAACATTTTATTTTATCATCGTCGATCGAG